AAGATTGCTGTTACCATAAAAAATTTCCTTCTAAGCCTCCTTTATTAAAGCATGAAGACTGAATTGATCTGTTTAATAATGGTTCAGAGGAATCTGACCCTGAGGATGCGCCCAAGGAGCCTTTGGATCCTCATGATTTAGAAGAAGCTGTGAGCTATCATGATAAAGATTGGCCTCCCCCCTTATATTAAGCCAAATGCTCCTCCTCTTAGAAAAAGAAAAGTGAGGGAGACTTAAACATCACAGCTCAGGACTCTTGGCCATGTCTGGCACTGCCCGTGAGGCAGCCTGGTCTGGAGACCCTCTTTTCAGAGGCTCCGTTATTTATAGGGACACAGTGATGAGAATAACAAACCTTCATGGGGGCCACTGCCTGACAAGCTCATTAAAGAATCAAAGGCATCGGGTGCCAGTTATGGTACCACGTCACTGTTATATACCACTTTTGGAAAATTTCAGTACTTATTGGATAACTCCTATGGATTGGCATCAAGTGGCTAAGTGTGCCTACTCGGAGGACACTTCTTATTATGGAAGGCAAAATACAAGAAAGAAGAAAAAGAGGAAGCTGGCATCAGGAAGAAAGGAGAGGATACAGGTCTCTGTGCTATTGGGAGTAGCCCAAAGGATTGATCCTGGGCAGCAGCTAAAAACACCGAAAAAGATTTGCAGTTAATTCCTGATTGGGTTATTGCTGCTTGGAGAGATTTGCCTGCTTCAGATATTGCTTCCCAGGGGGTAGTTAATATAAAACAAAAAAGGGATGAGCCTTATAAGTCATTTATTTCTCGGTTCACTAATGTTGTAACCAAAATCATACCTCAGGAACAGGCTACAGAAATAATTAAACAACTGGCCTATGAGAACGCCAAAAATGCCTGCAAGACATTGTTAAAATCTGCTAGCATGCCGGACGGTGGTGGCGCACGCCTTTAATCCCAGCACTCGGGAGGCAGAGGCAGGCGGATCTCTGTGAGTTCGAGGCCAGGCTGGACTGACAGCCTCCAAAACAATACAGAGAAACCCTGTCTCGTAAAACAAAACAAAACAAAAAAATCTGCTAGCAGACTGTGGACTATTTCAGATTATCTGAAGGCTTGTGTTGATTTCACCCCCTTTGTTCCCTCAGGACGTAGCAATTGCCGCTGCCCTCCAAGGTAAAACAATTATGCAATTCCTCAGAGGTAGCCTCCCACCATCCAGACCAGGGGATATGGGGGCTTGTTTTTTCTGTGGTCAGAAAGGACATATAAGCCAACAGTGTCCTAATGAAGATCAAGAAGGACCTGTTTGGCCTTCCTCTGGCTTCCCTCTGGCTTCAGTGACAGAAAGGATTTCACTGGCAAAGAGATTCTGGCGCTAAACTTCATAGAAATGGGATTCCGACCACTGCCACCTCAAGGGCCTATAACTCAGGGAGGTAATTTAGCACAGCCTCCTGCTTCTCCCTTGGGAAACTTCCAGAGAGGCCAGTCCCAGACCCCACGCCCAGCAATGGGGGTAACAATGACCAATTCCTTCCTTCTTGCCCCAGGACACCAGACAATCCGAAGTTACTCCAGACAACCTCAGGGAATGGAAGACTGGATCTCAATTCCACCACTTCTGTCGTATTAACCCCAGACATCCCCAATGAAACTGTCCCTGCAGGGGTATACAGACCTTCACTCCCTGGTCAAGTGGGATTAGTTTTAGGTAGAAGTTCAACTTCTTTACAAGGGAACCATGTCATTTCTGGGGTCTCTGATTATACGGGGGAAATCAATTCAAGCACCAGTGAAAACCATACAAATTCATTCTGGTCAGAGAATTGCTCAGTTATTAATCTTACGCTACTTTTCTCAAGGCCATTCAGCTTCAAATATACCTTGAGGTAACCAAGGCTTTGTCTCACAGGATCATGTATTTTGGTTACAAGAAATAAAGAGTTCAGGCCTTTTAAAACCTTAAAAACACAAGGAAAAGAGATACAGGGGCTTATGGATACAGGAACTGATGATAGCAGGAAAGGGTTGGTCACAAAATTGGCCTGCTACCACTACCCCCTCCATTTTATGTAGAATTGGACCCCAAAAGGGATTAGGAAAAAATAGCCAAGAAAGATTATATATATCCAATAGAGCCAAAAAAATAAACAGGATATATATGGCCTAGGGTATCAGGATTTTTAACTGGGGACATTGAAAAACAATTTTTTGTTGTTGTTTTGTTTTGTTTTTCAAGACAGGGTCTCTCTGTGTAGCCCTGGCTATGCTGGAACTAACTTGCTCTGTAGACCAGGCTGACCTCGAACTCACAGAGATCTGCTTGCCTCTGCCACCTGAGTGCTGGGATTAAAGGTGTGAGCCCTAACCACCACCACCCAGCCGCAAAACAATTCTTAACTTGGAAATCTGATGATTCTGTCTAGGTAGAGCAATGGCCCCTAATACAAGAAAAGATTCAGGCACCCAAGGCTCTAGTTTTAGGAACAGCTGGACACAGGTCATATTAAGCCTACAAGTCCTTGGAATACTCCAATTTTTGTTACTAAAAAGACATGAGGAAAATGGAGACTATTACAGGATCTCATAAAAAAAATAATCAAACTATGGAAACCATGAGGGAGCCCTTCAGCCTGGTCTCCCTTCTCCTGCTGTGATTCCTCAATGGGTACAGATCTACAGGACTGTTTTTTTCTCTATCCCCCTTGCTCCTAAAGACAGAAAAAGATTTGACTTTAATCTTCCCTCTATAAATTTAAAGCAGCTTTATAGATGCTTTCATTGGAAAATTATTTCCCAAGGAATAAAGAATACTCCTACACTGTGCCAAAAAATTTGTTGATTTGGCCCTTACAAAAGTTAGGCTCACTTATCCAGATGTTTATCCGGTCCATTATGTGGATGATAATCTTTTAGCTCACCCAGATTGAGCTTTCTTATAAATGTCTTACAAACTATTTTTAGTCAAGTCACTGAACCAGATTTCTCTGTCACGGCTCTTGCATCTACCTACTTCAGACCCTGCCCTCATCCGGAGCTGGACTCCAGCAGATCTCCTGGAACTGGAGTTACAGGCTGTTATAAGCAGCCTGACATAGGTTATGGGAACCAAACTGCTGTTCTCTGCAAGAGTAACAAGTGCTATTAAACCACTGAACTCCAGCCCCTAGAGATAATTTAAGATTTATTTATTATTTCATGTGCATATGAGTTTTGCCTGCATGTTTGTAAATATACTATGTGCTCATCTGATTCCCTTTGAGGACAGAAGGGGGCATTGGATCTCCCGGGACTTGAGTTACATGTGGTTGTGGGCCACATTGTAGATGCTGGGGATGGAGCCCAGATCCTTTTTTTTTTTTTTTTTGGCAAAATATACTAACTTATTTATTAAAATGTTACACATTCTTCAAGGAAATCCAATTTTTATTAATGAAATATAAGCAAACTTTGAGTCATACTAAAATTCCAGAGTTTTGGGGGCTGGAGAGATGGCTCAGGGGTTAAGAGCACTGACTGCTCTTCCAGAGGTCCCGATGAGTTCGATTCCCAGCAACCACATGGCAGCTCACAACTGTCTGTAACTCCACTTTCAGGGGCTCGACACCCTTGGCAAAACACCAATGTACATAAAAAAGAAATAAATAAAATGAAAAAAATCTAGAGTTTCTCTTCTCTCCACGTTACAGCAAAGATATTTAAAGCACATCTGTAGATCAATTTTTGAAACCCAGTCTGGGAAAAAACAAAACAAAACAAAAATCAATGTGAATAGATGAGGGCAGGAAAGGACGGCATTAATAATCACTATCAAGGAGGTGTCAAGATGAGCATTGGTGGTGCACGCCTTTAATCCCAGCACTTGGGAGGCAGAGGCAGAGCAAGTCCAAGGACAGCCCAGCTTATGCAGTGAAGGTGAGCATCAAACACAGAGAGCTGGCCAAGACGTGTTGAACAAAGGGACCATACCCCAGCCCCAGCAAGCAGTAGGACTTGATAGCTTCAGCCACGTGGTTCTGACTTTAGGGTTAAGGTTAGAAGAAAGGAGTTACGGGATTTGCCTCTGAGACTAAAGGAAGCCGCTGAGTCCAGGCATGTGTCAGGGGTGGCCCTGGATGGAGGCCTAGAGAGGCCATTCTGGGAAGATGTGAAAGGGAAGCCGGGATTGCCCTGGTATGAGCCACCACTGGGCCGGCGAACTTCAGTCTTAAATAAGGTTGAGACTGTTATAAACTATGGGGACTTTTAAAGTAGGGCTGGATGCATTTTTCCATTATGATATGGCTATAAAGCCTTTGGGGGACAGGGGGAGTGGAATGTGGTGGTTTGAAAGGAAATGGTCCCCAAAGGAAGTGGCACCATTAGGAAGTGTAGCTTTGTTGGAGGAAGTGTGTCACTGTGGAGGTGGCTTTGAGGTCTCATATGTGCTCAAGATACCACCCAGTGTCTCACTTCACTTCCTGTTAACCTTTTGATCAAGATGCAGCCAGCCGTATGTCTGCCTGAATACTGCTGCCGCAACCCCTGCTACCATGGTAATGGACCAAAGCTCTGAAAATGTAAGCGAGCCACCCCAACTAAATGCTTCCCTTTATAAGAGTGGCCATGGTCATGGTGCCTCTTTACAGCAATAGAACCCCGACTAAGATGGGGGGTAAGAGGTGCTTGCTGCCAAGCTTGATGACCTGGGGCACGCAAAATGGAAAGAGAAAACTGATTCTCAAAAGTTGTTCTCTGATCTCCATGCATGTGCCCCCTACTAAAGATAAATACAGTAAGCCGGGCGGTGGTGGCGCACGCCTTTAATCCCAGCACTCGGAACTCACAGAGGCAGGCGGATCTCTGTGAGTTCGAGGCCAGGCTGGACCGACAGCCTCCAAAACAATACAGAGAAACCCTGTCTTGTAAAACCAAAATAAAAAAATAAAAAAGTAAAGATAAATACAGTATTTGAAAACAGACAAATTTGCTACCACCAACACTACGAGGGCAGACGGCATGGGTTCAAGGGCAAACCTTTGAAGGCGTCTGTTGCTCCAGGAGCGCAGTTCTTATCAGGGTGAAACTTCAGGGCGAGCTTCCTGTAAGCTCTCCTAAGCTCTTCGTCACTGGCCTCTCGAGAGACGCCCAGGATTTCATAGTAATCTTTGCACTTCTTGATTCTTAAAGGAAAAAAAAAATCGAAAACATGTGTATCTCCAGAGGCTCCATTTGCACAACCGACAGCCAAACAATACATCCCTCCAGCCTGTGAACCCCAAAACAAGCCTGAGAGAAACAGGGAAGCCATTTATGAAGCACGTGACTCTTTCTAACCCAACCCAGACCTCAGCGCTTGGCACTGCTCCTGCAGAAGAAGCGTGCTAGCCTTCGTGTCAAAGTTCAGGGTCAGATCCTGAACGTTCACCTCAGCACAGCAAAGCCGGAAGAATTAGCTAGCTATCCCATTTTGTTTCCTTTAGAGAGCATCTCAAGCAGCCCAGGCTAGCCTCCGAGCTCTCTACGTAGCTAAGGCTGGCCTTCAAGTCTTGGTCCTCCTGCCTCTATTCCCCACAGGTTGAGATTAGAGGTGTGTGCTCTCACATCCGCCCTTATGGGTATCTTTCAAAACGGTAGATGTGGTTTTCCCTTCGGGGAGATGGGGAGGGGCTTGTATGGCCTTGAGACAGAGTATCTCCATGTAGTCACCTGCCACCACATAATCCCAGTGCTTGGGAGGCAGAAGCAGGTAAATCTCTTGAGTTTGAGGCCAGCCTGGTCTATAGACCGAGTTCTAGGACATCCAGGGCTACACAGCAAAACCCTGTCTTAAAGAAAAAAAAAAACTATCCTAAGGCATTGCGGTATATGCCTTTAATCCCAGATCATTGAAAGACCCTGTCTCAAACAAACAACAAAGAGAGAGGATCTCTTCACTCTATAGCTCTTGCAGGTCTGGCTGGCCTCAAACTCACATTCCCAGCACCCACACATCAGGTGACTTACAGCTGCCTATAACTCCATCTCCAGGGTATCTGATGCCCTCTTCAGGTGTCTGTGGGTATCTGCACTCATGTGCACACACCCATACACAGACACCTAAAAACAAAGTGAAAAATTAAAAAGGGTAATGATCCTCTCTTTTCAGACCCGATTTTGTGTAAGTCTGTGCGTAGAGGAGCAGACAGTTCCCTGTGTAGCTCTGGCTGCCCTGGATGTTGCCTATTTTTCCTGTTCCAGAGTGCTAGGATTACTGGTTTGCAGAACCAGGCATGCCTCATTCCTGCTTTTAGTCATTTGAATATTGTTTGTCTCCCTGGGCATCAATTTTGTTGACATTTTATTGGTTTTTCTCTATTGTTTTTCTATTTTCTATTTCATTTATAGCTACTCTTGTATTATTTCCTTTATCCTTCTTAGGTAGGGTTTTTTGTTGTTGTTTTTTTTTGTTTTGTTTTGTTTTTTGGCCAAGGGTCTCAAACCCCAGATATTCTTGCTTCAGCTTAAGTCCTGTGACAATAGGCTTATGTCACCATGCTCATCCTCTAGTTTCCCTCTCTCTCTCTCTCTTAATGGTTCTGGAAGTATACCTCAGTCCTCTTTTCACTTTCTTGTTTTGAGACTGGTTGCCCAGTATGGCCTTGAACTCACTTTGTATCCAGACTGGCCTTAGCCTTGCAGACGCTCTGCTCTTAGTCTCCTGAGTAGTCAGGATCACAAACCTGGATCACACCTGCTTAAAGGACATCTTTCTAATTGTTTTAATGTACTGGAGATCAAACCTGGGGCCTCAGGCATGTGGGACAAAGCTCTTTACTGGTGAGTTACATCTCCAGCTGTTGCTATCTTACTTTGTATTCCCAGCTTCCCATAAAGCAGATCACACAACTCCCATTACATTCCAATAATCCATTCTTATCCAGTCTTTCATCTGACATCAAGAAAATAGTTGTCTTTCAGTAACACAAAAAACGGGGGCTGTAGAGATGAGTCAGTGGTTAAGAGCACTGACTGCTCTTCCCAAGGACCAGGGTTTGGTTCCTAGCATACACATGGAGGCTCAACTGCCTACCTATAACTCCAGTTCCAGTGTCCAAAGCCCTAAGCCTTCTAGGGCACTATACATGCATGGTGCACAGACATATGTGCAGGGAAAACATCTACACACACAAGATAAAAGAATAAATCTAAAGGAAAATGGTGATGTTATATAGCCCATCCTGAGACAAACACTCTTGCAAGCACTTTGTACAAATTCCCTTATTTAATCCTACAACAGCAGTTCTCAACCTGGGAGTCCTGACCACCTTTGGGGCTTTGAGAGATAGCCCGCCTGTCAGGTATTTACATTATGATTGATAACATTAGCAAAATTACAGTTACAAAGTAGCAACAAAGTAATTTTATGGTTGGGCTCGCCATAACATGAGGCACTGCATTCAAGGGTCACAGCACTAGGAAAGTTGAGAACGACTGTACTACAGGCTTACCTTTGTACCCCTAGTAGCTGTTCCTCTGTATAAGTGGAGCTCCCCTCTCCCGGCCGGGTCTGATTCCACTCATTCTCAGACTTTTTCTCCTTTTGTGCCTTCATGCAGTTACAGCAACCACAGGGGTCATGGCTGCCAGGTCCTCCGTCTTCTGGGTATTTGTTTCTTCTAATTGCATCAATGTAAGCTGCAAAACAACAGCCGAGCCGACCTCCAGTTCACGCCGACTTAGACCTTTGTTTACCCTTTCTGAGACGAGGTTTCACTATCACTGGCCTCGAATTCATGAACCTTCTGCCTCGGCTTCTCTAGAGTTAGAATTACAACTTGTGCATCGGTGTAGATAAGAGTAAAGAAGTGTAAAGAAGTGTCTTTTTTTTTTTTTTCGAGACAGGGTTTCTCTATGGCTTTGGAGGCTGTCCTGGAACTCGCTTGGTAGTCCAGGCTGGTCTCGAACTTACAGAGATCCGCCTGCCTCTGCCTCCCGAGTGCTGGGATTAAAGGCGTGCGCCACCAACGCCCGGCGAAGAAGTGTCTTTTAAATTGATCAAAGACATCAGAGACTTCAAAGTTTCCATTCAAAACTCCAACAAACATCCTCCCTGGAATACTATACAGAAAATGCAGGATGCACCCAAGGAAAAAAAAATTAAAGGCCAGAAATACAAAGCCCCAAAATCTTCACCATCCTTACAGTGCTCATTCAACAAATGCTCTTAACTTACAAGAGGGCTTGTGAGGCATCTCTACCCAAAACCTTGCCTGTGGTACAGCGTAGAGAGGTTTATCTCTTTGTGCTGCATGGTCAGAGGTGACATTGCTCATACAACAATACTTTGCTTGCAATGCCTCCTACCCTTAACATTTAAAGCATAGACAGACCCCTGTCTCAAAAACAAACAAAAAGCACACACACAAAAACAAACAAGACAGAATGGAATTGTTTAACTCTTTTAAATAAGCATTTGTAGGAGCTGGAGAGACGACTCAGCAGCTAGGAGCAAAGACTGCTCTTGCAGAGGATCTGAATTTGGTTTCCAGCATCCATATGGCAGCTCAAACCTCTTGTAACTCCAGGCCTCTGGCCTCTGAAGGCACATGAATTCCCAGGCACATATTCCTTCCCCCACATACACATAATTGAAGATAAAATAAATCTTTTTTTAAAAAAATTAAACGAACACTTCAGAACTAATATGAACCAATACACTGGGCTAGACATATCAGAGCCTGTATGGGTGAGACCAATTCCTACCCACAAAAAGATTATAGTTTAGTGCAAGAGGATTCAATAAGTCCTGGTGCCTACAAAATGTACAGAGCAAGCCAGCAAGGACTGGGCACTCCCATCTTGTCAGAAGACCTGAAAACATCTTTCTCTCCTGCTTATGACCATTCAGTTACAATTCCTCGGCACTCTTCCTTGAAGGCACCCTTCATATCTTTACATGTCTCGTTTTTCTCCACAAGCTTCTCTCCACACCCAGGCTGTGTTGGGTACCTTGTCAGTGTGCAACCCAAACCCCCAGCCTTGCTGTGGTAGTCCAGGGACTAACTGGCTGTGTTTTGCAAAAGGCTGTTAACCTGCCAAACTCTCTCAGTGGACTGACAGTTCTGTGAGCTCAGGGACCTACGTCAGTCAAATTCCCCCTGCAGAATCAGCATTACGCAGGACAGAGAGGATAGGTAATTGGAATCTAAAACTCTCTGCCCGACCGTAGCATGGAAAAGGACAGACAGCCTACCTGCCCTGATGAGACCCTTGAGGGACAAGATCAAACCAGGGAGCCGGGCGTTGGTGGCGCTCGCCTTTAATCCCAACACTCGGGAGGCAGTGGCAGGGGGATCTCTGTTGAGTTCGAGGTCAGCCTGGTCTACAAAGTGAGTGACAGGACAGGCTCCAAAGCTACAGAGCTCCCCCCCCCCAAAAAAAGGATCAAACCAAGGCTGAGAGTCAGGAGGCCTAATGTGGAGGTGTTATCCATAAAGGGCAGGTAAGTGCAGAATTCAGCATCCTAAGAGCCCTCGCATCACGGGAGGTCAAGACGGGCCGGGCAGCCCTGGATGGGGCATGGCCGGGGCGGGGCTGGGGGCACTGAGCCGAGCTCAGGACCACGACCTCAGTCAGAGCCAGCGTTCCGGGCCCCTTGCCCTGGGCCGTCCTCCACCGCAACCTCCCCGGGCTTAGCATCTCCATCTGGCCCAGGATCTCGACCTTAAGATCCGAGGAGCCGCACCCCTAGCCTCTCCCGGGAAGGCTACCTGGTCCCACCCTCCAGCCGGGGAACCTGGTACCTTGCGTCCAGCGCTCCCCGCTGCCCAGAGTGGCCGCCATATCGGCTTTCAGTCAGCTGGTCGGCGGAGCCTCGCAAGTTCGGGAGGCTGAAAAAGAGGGGGGCGCGGAGCGCGGGGCACGCCGGTCTTTGTAGTGTCGTCCGTGTGGGCAGCGTTGCAACGCGACTACAAGTCCCGGCGCCGCCCGCGCGGGGGGTGGGGGTGGGATGCAGAGATGCAGAGAGACTGGATCCCTGTAGGATTTGGTTGGCTGGCTTCTGCGTGGCTTACCGGCTCTGACTCAGACTCATCTGTCGCTGGGGATAGTGACCTCTGTCCTGCCTGGGGCTGGGAACCTACCACGGTCCTACGGTACAACGGCTGGGCACTCTGTAGGCCAACCGGTGCATTCACACCCTCAGGAACCCCGTGCCTACTCTGCAAAATCGGTGGAGGACAGAAAGATGGCTTGGGGGCAGGCTACACTCAACTGGGAAGCTTAATGCCCGCAAAAATAAAAATATATATAAAAATAAAAACAAAGGCGGCGACTTTAATGTCGTAGTAAGACAGTAGTTTGGGTTCCTCCCGCTTAGCTAAGCTCCTTAGGCATCATTATGGGGGGGGGGGTAAGTTTGGGAGCCGCCATCAGAGCCCTTGTCTTTACCATCCCCTGTTTTTACTACGTGCCCATTCTGCTCATGGCTCTTCTCCTCCTTCCCAGCCCTTTTTCTTTGACTGGTTTTCTTTTCAGAAGGGCCAGCTCTAAGAGGTTTGTAAGGGTTTGTTCCTTCTGTTCCTCACGCTGTTTTCCGTGGAATCTAGCAAAGAATCAAAGCACTTCTTTCGCGTGATTCACAGGGCAATCTGCTCTCCTCACTCCCTTAACGCATCCACCGAGGAAGATGATGAGGTCGGGATCACCTAACCTAGTCTAGTCACCAAACCGAACATCGGGTCTGCAAAAAAAGGACAGAATGATCAGAATTTCAGAAAATTGCCTACAAAAAAAAAAAGTACCTGGAATTAAATTATATCTTTTTTTTTAAAGAGTAAATAAGTTATGTTGCCAATCCAGCAGCTACTTAGGGGCTGTTGGGAAAGTGGGGTGGGCATGGGGGTGCATAGCCCTGAACCCAAACAGAAGGGTAAGAGGCCCCATATGACATGTGGCTCTCACTTCCCGGCTGTCATAGCTCTGGCATGCCGACTTCATGACCACTCGGAACTCCAGGAGAAAGAACAAGGCCTCTCTGTCGGAAAAGCACTGGCTCAGAAGTTAGATACACACGGAGCTTTGGTGGCACACGCCTTTAATCCCAGCACTCGGGAGGCAGAGGCAGACGGATCTCTGTGAGTTCGAGATCAGCCTGGTCTACCGAGCGAGTTCCAAGACAGGCTCCAAAACAATACAGAGAAACCCTGTCTCGAAAAAACGAAACAAAACAAAACAAAAAACCAAAATAAAGATAAAAGAGCTTCTTGGAGGGAAATAAGGGAAGAGAATCGGCATCTCCAAGCCAGCTTTCAGGCAGGAAATAGGTGCAAATGTTGCAGGAAAAAAAAGGAGAATAGTCACAAATCCAGGTGCCTGGCAATCAGGACCGCAAGGGTTTTTGTTGTTGTTGTTTTGTTTTTGTTTTTGTTTTTTGACAGATTTCCATAGAACTTAGTAGGACTAGCCTGGCTTTGGGAAATTACCTGCCAGAGTAAGGCCGAGGGAGCCTGCAGCCAGCTTTCTATCAATTTCACCCACCGCTTTCAAAACGTTTGTTTTTAGAGATACCGATATGAGGTTTGTCCCATCCAAGTCCCCCCCCCAAAAAAAAGTATTGGGTAAAATTTCCTTCTTTTATTTGGGGCTTCTGTACTTGAGATGGTGTGTTGCTTGCTTTCTTATAGGTTGGGCAAAGAAATGAGAAGACGTTCTAACACACACACACACACACAGAGAACTTCCTGCTTTAGAACTGTGTAGACTTGTATGAGAAAAGGGGAGGAAGTTGTCTTGTAAATGGTCATCATCCTGCTGTCTAGACATCAAGGAAGAGATGTAGGCTTAGGGAAGCTCCAGGAGCAGCAGAGGGCTGCACTCGGATTTCCTGTTAGAGACGGTCTCTTGTATTCACCTACAAAATTGGATCCTACCGAAGACCCCCTCTACAACGCAGTTAGCTGAGAGCACGATTTAGTGTTAAATGAGTTCATCTTAGTCCCCTCCCCCAGAGTATTGTTACTTAGCAACAGGAGCATCATTGTGGCTGGTGTAGTAATGAGGTGTCAGCAGCAGGGTAAGAGATTTGCAATCTCAAAGATATTTAATACCCGGTTATTCCTCCCCTCCCGTATATAAATACCTTATGACTAACAGCTCGCATGTGTAGTACATTGTCCAGAGTCGGGGGAAATTTGTGGCTTTGTAATAAAGAAGTCACATGAGTTAACCATCGTGAAATCCACCCGCGTCCTTGACCTGATTAGTCCAGTGTGATAAGCAGCTGAACCAAGTGTCCATGACAGAATGATAACAATTCTAACAGAACTCAAGACTTCGAGACATTGTTATGTCACCGGGAAAGTTCTATGACAACGATAGATTTTTGAACTGTAGCTGGGTAGTAAAGCATGCGCTTTTGGAAGTGCAATTGAAATAAAATATATCTTAAGTTCTAAAGAAAAGTTACTGTAGTATGGGGGCCACAGATGACTCAGTGGGTAAAATCACTTGCCACATGAGCTTGAGGGCTAGAGTTGGGGATCCCTGCACCCATGTAAAAGCTGGGTAGTCGTGGGGACCTGCAGTGATCCCGGTGTTGGTGACGTAAGAGATGGGTGTTTCCTATGGTGAGCTAGATAGCTAGACTAGCCAGACCAAGAAGCACTAGATTCAAATGAGAGACCCTGTCTAAATACATAGGGTGAGAGTTCCTGTCTGAATACATAGGATGAAAGTAAGTGAAGACATGGCCGGTCAACCTCTGGCATCCTCCTGCAAGTGCACACATATGCATTCCTACCCACAAACATATGTATGCCCACACATATCTAAGTACATATAACACACACACATGATAAAGAAAAAAAATGCTGTAGTATTAGGACTAGATATGTGATTCATTTGGTAGTGCGTTTAAGATGCTTGAATCCCTAAGTTTGATCCCCGGCAATACATAAAACCAGGCACGGTGGTGTCATGTCTGCACTTGAGAGTGCGGGCAAGGTTATCTTTGGCTACATTGTGAGTTCTGGGACAGCCTGGGATAGAGGAGAGCCTGTTTCAAAATTAAATTAGTGAATACTATACCACTGATATATAAAATGAGTACAAAGAAATGGACTCAGAGACACTTGAGGTATGTATACTAAAGGGGTTATTAATGAATGCTTCTGTAATAAGTCAGGGAACACAATTGTGTAGAGGAAAACCCGAGGGACTGGGGAGGTAGCTCATCGGTTAAGAACACAGGCTATCCTTCCAGAGTTCCTGAGTTCAATTCCCAGCAACCACATGGTGGCTCACAACCACCTATAATGCGATCTGATGCTCTCCTCCTCTGGCATGTAGGCTCTATGTGTAGATGTATAAAATAAATAAAAATTTTAAGAAGAAAAACTGAGGTCCTTCATGCCCACCAGCCAACCATCAGCCAGCCATGTGTTCTCAGCAGCCCATAGCTTGGGAACAAATGCCTTGGCTCTAAAGTGTGGTCTGGAAGGTGGTATCCCAGGCCGTCTGCTACAATTGTTGATTAGTCTTCATTCCCAATTTGCCCATTCTTCCTGCCCAGCAGAGCGTGAGGTGAACAAGGAAAAGTACAGCTCAGTCTCCTAATAACACAAAGAGAGGGAAGTCCACAGAATGCCGAAAACTTGCCTGGAGTCACCCGAGACTGTCTTTGGCTCCTACTCATCTTTTCCTTTTAGAATAGAATTATTTTTAGACAGTGTGTCACTGTGCAGCCATACTGGCTAGAACCCGTTGGCCTTGAATTCACAGAGGTCCTCCTGCCTCCGCCTCTGGAGCACTGCAGTTAAAGATGTGTGCTGTCTTTTAATTTTTAAAAATCATTTTAATTTTACGTGCATTGATGTTTTTGCCTGCCTGTATGTTCTGTGTGAAGGTGTTAGGTCCCCCCTGGAACTGGTGTTACAGATAGTTGTGAGCTGCCTTGTGGGGGCTAATAATTGAGCCTGGGGGTCCCCTGGAAGAGCAGTCAGTGCTCTTAACCACTGAGCCATCTCTCTAGCCCCCTGACTTTAATTTTTTTAAAAGATTAATTTCCATGTGTTGTGTGTTGTGTGTGTATCCATCCGAGTGTGCTTGCAGAGGCCAGAAGGTCGGATTGCTGGAGCTGGAGTTGCAGATGGTTGTGAGCTGCCTGACCCCTGTGCTGGAAATGTAACTCCAGTCCTTTGGAAGAGCAGCAAGCATTCTTTTTTTTTTTTTCTTTTGGTTTTTTGAGACAGGGTTTCTCTGTAGCTTTGGAGGCTGTCCTGGAACTCACTTTGTAGACCAGGCTGGCCTCGAACTCACAGAGATCCGCCTGCCTCTGCCTCCCGAGTGTTGGGATTAAAGACGTGCGCCACCAACGCCCAGCATGCAGCAAGCATTCTTAACTGATGAACCATCTATTCTGTCCCTTTTCTCTTAGACATGGTTTTTTACAGTGCAGCTTCAGGCTGGCCTCAAAGTTAATGTTCTCCTGCCCAAGCCCCCTAGAGTGCTAGGATTAGGAGTGTAAACACCATACCTGGATTTCTTCTTTCTCAGTATTATTGTTGTTTGTTTATTTGTTATTTGAGACAGGGTCTCTCTGTGAAGCCTTGGCTGTTCTGGAACTTGCTCTGTAGACCAGGCTGGCCTCAAACACAGAGATCCTCCTGCCTCTGCCTCCTGAGTGTTGGGATTAGTTTGCACCACCCTCCACCACCTGTCTTGTTCTTTCTTTCTTTCTTTCTTTCTTTCTTTCTTTCTTTCTTTCTTTCTTTCTTCCTTTCTCTTCCTTCCTTCCTTTCTTTTCTTTCTTTTTATTTTGAAATAAAGTTTCTTTATGTAGCCCTGGCTGGCCTGGAACTAGTTATGTAGAGCCAACTGGCCTTGAACTCATAGAGATCTGCCTGCCTCTGCTCCCAAATTCTGGGATTAATCTCTCCAAACAAACTCAGTCTCTCCAAAATTTACTTTAATAGTTTTGAGGGGGTTGGGGTGGAGAGATGGCTCAGTGGCTAGGAGCACTGGCTTCTCTTACAGAGGACCCCTCTCTGAGTCCCAGCACCCACATGGCGGCTCATAACGGGGCCTGACTTCTTCCTCTGGCCTCTGTGGGCACTGCACTGTGTGCAGACTTACATGCAGACATAACACTCATCTAAAAATAAAATTAAAAAAAAGAGAAAAAATAATTTTTTTACAGCTTTAATGAGATGTGGGGGGTGGGGAGAATGAAACTCTTTGTTCTCCCTCTCTCATATCACTCTGTGAAGTTTAAGCCAGAAGAAAATAGCATTTTTTGTTTCTGCAGACTAAGTATGTAATATTTGGGCTGGAGAGATGACTCAGAGGATAAGAGCGCTGGCTGTTCTTCCAGAGGTCCTGGGTTCAATTCCCAGCACACACATGTTGGCTCACAACCATCTGTAATGAGATCTGAGGCCCCCTTCTGGCCTGCTGGCATACATGCAGGCAGAACACTGTATACATAATAAATAAATCTTAAAAAAAATAAATTAAACAAGCCGGGTGGTGGTGGCACATGCCTTTAATCCCAGCACTTGGAAGGCAGAGAGGCAGGCAGATCTCTGTGAGTTCAAGACCAGCCTGGTTGGCATCAGCCTGGGAATCCAGCACGGGACTGATCAAGACCCCCTGAATGTGGGTGTCAGTGAGGAGGCCTAGGTAATCTATTGAGCCTTGGGCAGCAGATCAGTACCCATCCCGAGTATACACACGGACTTTGGACTCCCATCCAACCATGTGAGGTGCACTCTCACCCTGAACTCTTGGGGAAGGGTCTAGGCCCTGCCCTATATGAAATGACAGACTATGGACACCCCCATGGAGGGCCTCAACCTCTCTGGGGAAATGAGGGGATAACGGGGGGGGGGGGGGGAGGGCACGGGATGAGGGGAGGGAAAGGGAGAGGGACCTGTAACTGACTTGTGAAGCAACCTTGTTTCTTATCTAAATTTAAACTGAAAAAAAAAAAAAAGACCAGTCTGGTCTACAAGAGCTAGTTCTGGGACACCCTCCAAAGCCACCGAGAAACCCTGTCTTGAAAAACCAAAAAAAAAATAATAATAATAATTCCAAGAGGATTTCTTGCTTGTCTGTTTCATGTGCATGTTTATATGTGTGGGTTCTTGTAGAAGGGGGGGGTCAGCTCTCTCTTCCCACCTGTGGGTCCTGGAGTCTTACTAATTATGAAAGCTTGGCCTTTAGCTAGGCTTGTCTCGCCTCGCTCTTCTAACGTAAATTAATCACCCTTTTTATATTGATCTACGTTCTGCCACGCGGCATTGCCTCTCTCCCGTCTTCCACCATCCGTCATTCTTTCTGCCTGGCTGTTGGCTGTTCAGCCTTCTATTCCGCCAGTCGCAGAAATGCACCTTTGACACAGCGTGCAAACATCCAGACACGGGCACACACACACACACACACACACACACACACACATGCACGCACACACACGCACACACACACACGCATGCACGCACACACACACCCGGTCCATGGCCTGATTCCAGTGACTATTGGTGACCAATGGTCACTGGTGACAGCCTCTGTTTGCTCTGTTGAAGTGGCTACTCAGTGCTTCTGCCAGCTGGGGCCCGGTTGCTCAGGTCTGTAATCCCAGGTACTCAGTCAGCGAAGGCAGGGAGATTGTTAAACTCAAGGCCCACCTAACCTCGTAGTAAGTTCAAGGCTAGCCTGGACCACTCAGCGAAACTGCCTCAAAATATAAAGTGTATCCCAGAGCATATATCTCAGCAGTAGGATGATGCGCGCACACACACACCCACGAAAATAATTAAATTAGTAAATGAAAAGACAGGTAACAGGCAAGCCTAGCAAAAACCCTCCCCCTACCTCACAAGTTTCCGAGCTACCTAAAGAGGTAGAAGAGCACAGGCATAGTCTAGGAGAGAACACACCAAAGTTGCTAGAACGCTGCTAAGAAATGTACATGGGGGGGCGAGAGAGAGAGACACACAGACAGACAGACAGACAGACAGACAGAGGGGACAGAGGAGAGATGGTGTGCAGAAGTTAAGAGCATCCACTGCTCTCAAGAAGACCCAGGTTTGTTTCCCAGGACACACGGCAGCTCACAACCATCTATAACTCCGGTCTCAGGGGATCCATGCCTCCTAACCTTCGTGGGTTCCATCATGGGAATGGTGCATATACATACACTCAAGCACGTACTCATGCACAAGAAAGGAAGGAAGGAAGCAAGGAAAGAAAGAAAAAAAGAAAGAAAGAAGAAAAAAGAAAGGAAAGAAGGGAAGAAAGAAGAAAAGAAATAGATGGCTACATAGACCTTAAAAGAAATTGGATTCTAGGCCAGAAAAAAATAACTTTAATGTGAATAGAATGGATCCGTCTACCTCATTACTTCCTTGGCTCTTGCTCTATTGGCCCCGCATTCCTTGGTTTCTGAGGAGGAGGAGGAGGAGGAGGAGGAGGAGGAGGAGGAGGAGGAGGAGGAGGAGGAGGAGGAAGAAGCAGACCAAATGTCTAGAGTGGCTTCCACGTGGGACAGTCTCTGATGTGGTAAGCCGCTTCTGGATCTATAGGAATGTGATCCACATAGAGCTGGGAGCATCGTGAAACAAAATAACTTATATGTGGTCTGTTGGCTTCAACAATCTCATCTCTTCTTTTCTTCCTCGTGGTCCCTGGGCAGCTGCATCACACTTGAATCCATGGCGACTCAAGGCCACTTTTAAAGAATCTGAAAAATACGTATGATGAAGAATGGTGAACTTGGGAGGGATAAGGGGAAGAGCCTGGGTCATTGACCATGGTGTTAGCCTTCCTGGTTAAGGAGCTAACACCTGAGAATAGTGTTGCAGGGTGGGAAGGGAGGGGAGGGGTGGAGGTGGGTGAATTTGGGAAAGGAAGGAAAATTTAAGAGCCAACTTTTTTTTTAAAGATTTATTATGCCGGGCATTGGTGGTGCATGCCTTTAATCCCAGCACTCGAGAGACAGAGGCAGGAGGATCTCTGTGAGTCTGAGACCAGCCTGGTCTACAGAGCAAGTTCCAGGACAGCCTCCAAAGCAATACAGAAAAACCCTGTCTCGAAAAACCAAAAAAACAAAAAAACAAAAAGATTTATTATGTTTACACTGTTCTAGCATGTGTGCCTACACACCAAAAGAGGGCACCAAACCTCATTATAAATGGCTATGAGCCACCAGGTGGCTGCTGGGAATTGAACTGAGTGCCTCTGGGAGGGCAGCCTGTGTTCTTAACCTCTGAGCCATCTCTGCAGCCCCAGAAGGGAGACTTTAAAATGTACCTTTTCTGCTGAGGGGCAGCCTTTGCTGTTGTCCATGTTGATGCTCTTCATGGAGAGGAGGGTGATGCTGTCTTTCTCTCCACTGGCCGCGGAGCAGCTGAGGTGGGAAGGAGCCCAGTTTACAGAGAGGAGGGGACAGAGCAAGGGGAGCAGAGGGAACCTGGGGGCATCATACCCTCCATCTTCGTCTCAGAAAACTGTATTTGGGGGTGGACCGTGATAAAATGAGAATGTGTTCTGAAATCCAGGAGACTTGTATTTAAAGCTTGTCTGTTTTGTTCTTTTCCAAGTTGGGTTGGTGGGGTACAACTATAAACCCAGCACTTGGCAGGCAAGAAGGTCGGAAGATGAGGAGCTCAGTGCCACTTACAGCTACTTGGTGAGTTCAAAGCCAGCCTGGGTCCTGTGAGACTCTCTCATCAAAACCAGACAGTCACCGGGCGTTGGTGGCGCACGCCTTTAATCCCAGCACTCAGGAGGCAGAGGCAGGCGGATCTCTGTGAGTTTGAGGCCAGCCTGGTCTACCGAGCGAGTTCCAGGACAGCCTCCAAAACAATACAGAGAAACCATGTCTCGAAAAACCAACAAAACAAAAAACAAAAAACAAACAAACAAACAAACAAAAAAAACCAGACCGTCTTTACTGTCTATTAGTTGCTTGATCCTGACAAAGTTACAACCTGTCTTATGCTTCAGGGTTTTCTGGTTTGTTTGCTGGCTTTATATTGGTGGTATTTGTCTGTGTTTTAGGTTGGCCACAAACTTCATCTGTAGTCAGTGATGACCCTGAATTCCTAATCTTCCTGCCTCCCACTTCCTAAAGCTGGGGTTACAGCTGTGTGCCGTCACGTCTGGGTTATGCAGTAACTGAGCTAGAGCCCAGGGTTCTGTGTATAACAGACAAGCACTCCACCAGCTGGCCATGAACTCAGAGATCTGCCTGCATTTGCCTGCCAAATGCTGGGATTAAAGGTGTGTGTGTCCCCCCCAAAAAAAGGTGTGTGCCCCCCCAAAAAAAGATGTGTGCCCCCACAACTGGCTTTGGAGTAGGTTTTCTAAAAATTTCCTGAGAAGATGTTATCTTAAACTGGAATCTGCATTCCTGCACTTTTCATGAGGAGACAATGGAAGCTGAGCCCTGCTGTGGAAGAACCTCTCTTGTCTCTGCTCACCTGAGCCTGCTGGCCTGGCCCAGCTTCAGTGAAGACTGCAGGATTGAGGGGTGTATGCCTGCAAGTGGTGTGAATGGGCGGGGGACGTGGAGGGAAGCATGAGTGTGTGTGTGTCCCGAAGGCTGAGAGTGTGTTTTCTTCTTGGAGTAGGATTTCAGATTAGATAGAAGATGGCTTTCATAAGCTTCTAAAAATCTTACCTTTCAGATAGCCCCGAACTCCCTGGTTTCTGTGGATCTGTAAAATCCCAAGGGCACAGATTAGGGTCAAACGCTATAACCCAGATGCCCAGCCTTCCTCTCGAAGCCCACCTCCCCTCTCATCAAGTGTTGCTGACATCAGCCAGAGCCCCTTGCTCCGGCTCCCACAGCACAGGGGTCAAGGAGCCCAGCAGGTCAGGACAGTTACCTTCAGACTCCTTGTTCTTCCGACACTTAAACCTTAGGCTGACCACACTGACCAGGACGATCACCACAACCACCAGGATGACAATGAAGCTGATAACACCTGATCGGAGAGCAGGGGAGGAAGAGATGGGGCAATAGAAATAAGTCTAGGATTCCCTTCCCTGGTAGGTGCAGAGTGTGTGTGTGTGTGTGCGCGCGTGTATATATTCACTCAGAGTGATGTGGATTCTGCTTCTCTGGGAAAAATGAGTAGTATATTAGCTAGTACCCCTAGCCACGGTGGACCGCTTAGCCTAACACCATCACCCATAAGAGCATGAAGGCCAAAAGAGCCAAGAAGAGTTGCCCAGGGGGGCTGGAGAGATGGCTCAGAGGTTAAGAGCACTGACTGCTCTCCCAGAGGTCCTGAGTTCAATTCCCAGCAACCACATGGTGGCTCACAGCCATCTACAATTCAATCTGGTGCCCTCTTCTGGCATGTATGCAGAATACTATATATGAAATAAATAAATAAGAAGAGTTGGCCAGAAGACCAGTGAAGACTTCTTTCCACGAGGAACCTGCTCACCAGCAATTCCATCACAGAATGAATGGATAGGATTTGAACTTGCGTTCCTACCCAGAGTCTGAGTGAGTCCTGAGGTAGAGTCCCCTCTCAGGCCCCATCCTCCCTGCCGTTTCTTACCAAAGGCAGCCACAGTGAGCACTGACTCCGATGTGGGGCTGGGCAGGATGGTAACCTCTTCCCCTGTCCACAGGCTCGTGGTCACTGAACTGGGAGTAGCATTCAGGGACGCTTCTGAAACAGAGTAGGTGTTGGCGCATCAGCAAAGGGCGCTGGCAGGAACTGGCAAGGAGAGTCAGCCTCTCTCCTGATCCCTGAGGTGAGAGCCTGCAGAGAGGGCTACCAGCCCGTAGAAAAGACCTTCCTCCCTGCCACTGACTAACTAGAACCCCCTGAAGACAGAGGTTGGGGATCTCACATCTCTACAGGAACACCTCTGCGGGTTGTCTACATTACTGGTTTCAGAGGACTCCAGAAGGTTCAAGATGCTTCACATCACCACTTGGTGCCCAGAAGGAAGGATTTATGCTGCAGAAACAGGGAAACCCAAAGTAGAGCCAACTGTCTTCTGCAAACAGTTGAAGGTGTGGGGGGGAAAGAAGGCACTGACCCAAAGAGCCAGGGTGCCAGGTAAGGGGCAGAGGCTTCTGGTCCTCTTAAAATGACATTGGCTTGGCCTCATAGCTCAACAGGAAGGGTTGCCTGCTGCCAAGGCTGGAGGCCTGAGCTCAACCCCTGGGACCTACATGGTGGGAGGAGAGAACCAATATCACGTTTCTCTTCCCTTGCACAAGTCACATTCTGCAGACCTATTTGCTATCCTATTTCCCTATCTCTTCTCACCTCCTGAATAAGCCTAAAAGTGTAAGATATCCAAGGACTAAAAAAAAAAATGATTGGAAATAAAGAGTCATAGACATGTCTGACCGCCTCTCTTTGTTGGAACGCACACTGGACATACCTCCTCGTCTTGTGCTGTTGACAGTGCTGCTGCTGCTGCTACTGCTGCTGCTGCTGCTGCTGCCGCCGCCGCCTGGCACCCCTGTGCCTACACCTGAAGTAAATGGCCAAGTTGGAGGGCTGCCATCCCTCCCAGCACACCCTGAGAAGTGTCTAGTCCTTTTCCGACCCTGTATGTGCGAGTCCCCTTCTTATTTCCCTCTCCTGTCCGTTCTTTTCTCAGCCCCAAATTCGGGCTAGCTCATCCTTGACTACGAGCGGGACCAACTCCCTGCTTCTGCTTCTCTCCAATAGCTTCTTATAAAATTTCCCAAACCCAGGGCACCACTGGTGCAGCTTCAAGACTTAACCCCGACCCCAGCATTTAGGCCACTTGGCTAAAGGAAGAAGGAACCCATCCAGACATATCTAGTGTCCATCACCTCCAGCCTGCCCACCTGCCCTGGGTACTCACCAAGTTTCAATGCCTGCTTCTGTGATGTCAGGCCAGGCAAGGAAAGGGAGTGGTTATCCAAGGTGCCTGGCCTGGGCGTTACAGGCTGCCTGGGTGTTACAGGCTGCCTGGGTACCAAGGAGCCCTGGGAGACCTTCTGTAGAATTTCTGTGGATTGGGAAGCACACATGACCTGCTCAAAGCAACAGCCAGAATATGCACAGGGGAAAGGGTTCCTTAGTCCAAGGCATCCTCCCTCCCTCCTCTCTGTTTCTTTCCTTGTGTGCATGCTAATGGCGATTAAACCTAGGACTTCCTTTATGCTAGGCAAGCACTGTGTCCCCCTGAGCTACAGCACCCCCCCATTCCCATCACTGCCTTCAGTTCCTTAAGGAGCCATTCTCTGGCTGACCTCTGAGCCTTTGGTCCCTGCAGTTTGCTCTTCTTGAGCACTTCTCTCCCGCCTTCCCACAACCTCCACTTGTTCATCTTACTCCTTCCAGGGCCAGTTCTTGAGGCCACTGCCTGTGGGAAGGGACCCTGCCCCCTGCCCCCCCCCCCCCGGAGCTGACGTCTGAAGTGGATGACGTTTGTGTGGCTCCTGTGACCCCGTCCCTGCTGCCCCCCTTTGGGATCACCCCCGTCGGTCGGCCCCTGTCCCTTCTTCTACAAGTCTACATTCTCCCGCAGAGCTGACCCTGCCCCGGGCTCCTCCCGGACCCTCCCTGAGCACCAGCCTCAGAAGCTGAGTGAGTACCTGGGGTAGGGGTGCTAAGGGAAAGCCTTGAGCCGCCAGGCCCCGAGGAAGATCTGTCTCCTGCAAGAACAGAAGCAGAAGGAGTGGGACAGGCCTGTCTGGTGATGTCATACCCCTTTGCCAGTCTGAGAACCCCCAAGCTCCAAGGAGGTCTGGATGGCTGGGGGTGGCTTGGGAGGGTAGAGGGGGGCTTCTCAGCAGCTCCGCACTCATTCACTCACCGAAGAGCCCCCCACCCCCAAACACGTCATTTGACGGTTCTGTGCCCTTCTCTTCTTCTCTGAAGCTAGGTTTTTGTTTTGGTTTGGTTTTTGTCTCTTTTCCTCCCCTCCTCTATCTCTTAATATTCATCTCTTCCCTCTTTCAAGTCATGTTAGACTGGACCACTTGAATGAGCCCCAGGAACCTCTGGCTGGAGCTCCCATCACTTGCATTCAGGCAAAAAAAGGAGACCAAGCCAGGGTGGTCATGGTCCAAGCCTTTAATCCCAGTACTCAGGGTGGGGGTTGGGGATGTCTCTGAGTTCCAGGCCAGCCTGGTCTACAGAGAGAGAGAGTTCCAGGACAGCCAGGGCTACCCAAGAAACCCTGTGTTGAAAAACCAAAAGGAAAAGAAAAAATAAAAGCGGAGCCTGGAACTCCCCCTCTAATTCCTTTCTAGCTCTTAGGCACAAAGGCTGGAGTAGGCGCCGTGAGTCTTACCCTGAGAGGTCTGAGTTGTCGTAGGCTGAGAGCTGTAGCCTGTGAGAGAAAGCAAAAACGCTTTTGACTGTGACTGGGCAGTGGTGGCGCACGCTTTTGCTCCCAGCACTCAGGAGGCAGAGGCAGGAAGACATCTGTGAGTTCGAGGCCAGCCTGGTCTACACAGCGAGTTCCAGGACAGCCAGGGCTGCATAAAGAGACCCTGTCTCAAAAAAAAAAAAAAAAAAAAAAAAAAAACGAACCAAATATATAGACTGCCTCGGTAACTCTGACAAGCCAAGCTCATGAGGAAAGCCAGGTCTTTGGCGAAGATTAAAGGATAATTGTTCATCACCATCAATCACCTCAGCGTTCAGAGGCCTAGAGTCTTCGATCCTCCATGGGTATCCAAAGCTAGGGGATGGCTGTCTGAATTAATGACATGTCTGGACAAACACCCAGAACTCCAGGTCTCTGGGCCTATGCCACTACCAGCCCATTTGTTTCTCCCTGTGAGGACTGTCCTGTGTCATTCCCTCCAAAAAGGGGAGGGGCTGGGGGAGGTGCATGAAATGGGGTGGGGCTTAGGACTTTCACTGGGGCTCTCTCTCTCTCTCTGTCTCTCTCTCCCTCTCTGTCTCTGTCTCTCTCTCCCTCTCTCTCTCTGTCGCTCCCTGTCTCTGTCTCTCTGTCTCTCTCTTCCTCTCCCTCCCTTTCTCTGTCTCTCTCTCCCTCCCTCTTTCTGTCTCTCTGTCGTCTCTCTGTCTCTTTGTCTCTGTCTCTGTCTCTCTGTCTCTCTCTCTCTCTGTCCCTCCCTCTCTCTCCTCCCCCACCGGAGGCCGAGGCCTGAACAGGAAACAAGTTCTGAGGTTTGTCCAGGAGGAGAGGAAGTGCTGAGAGGTGTGGCTGGTTCACTCTCACGGGCAGGGGCAAGTTAAGAAACAGTTGTTCTGGCCAAACTTATTGAGGAGGTGGTTCCCAGCAGCTGCAGTGGGAGCCCTTGTTAGCTCTTCTGTTTGTATACCTGTGTGTCTGAGGGGCTCTTCGTAGACATGTGTATGCTTTTATGTGGGGGGGGGGGGGCGGGGCGGGCTTGTGTGTGCTCACTTTCCACAATGAAAACATTCTTGAAACCTACGAACAATGCGAAAGGAAAACAACATAGGGAAACGGAGCTGCTCCCTCCTCACCGTTTTTTTGGGGGGACTGGGAACCCACCCCCCCGCTGGGCTGGCTCTACTGCTTCTTAGCTTCTCATCTTTAGGGAAGCATCAGGCCCAGGCCCCAGATGGACTGAGGCAGCCGGATTCTAGGGGCCCACCCCACCCCAGGCTATGGGCAGCCTGCTGGCCTGTTTGTTTTCCCTAAGCCACCACCTTCCTCCATGAAGCTATTACTTGGATACCTGCGTGGAATCGCTTCCAAGCCAAAGCTTACCCAACCCTGAGATGCGTGTCTCCCCACCCCCACCCCAGGTCAAGATCTCCCACAACCCTGTTCCTTTGTGGGTAGAGGGGTTCCAGAAGAAAGTAAGCAGCGTTACAGGAACCCCAAGTTAGAGAGAATCCTTGCTAGCAAGGAATGAGCCTGGGCCAGCCCTTTCCTTCCAAAGTCTCTGAGCACAATCGCTCTGGTGCAAGCATGCCTTGCGAATCCTCTTAGCTCTGGGAGGTGTGGAAGTCAGAGTGCACCTGTCTTTCTGGACCTATCTGAAGATGATCTACAAGCTTCTGAGGCGTTCCCAAGGCACAAGCGAGCGAGCGTCAAGCCTTAAAGGTCTGGGCTCTCTTTGCCTCCTACCCCACTCTTCACAGCCTGTCACCTATAGAGACCAGGGACTTGAGCAATGTGTCTCTATAAGGCCAGTGCTTCTGACCAGGGTCCAGCAGACAGGCACAGAGCGACGGACACACTGAATTTGTATTTTCCTGACCTCCACTTCCTAAGCCCTACCTGCTTCATTTCCTTCCAGTCTAATCTCGCCCACACCCCTGTTTTCCTGAGCAGGATAGTTTCATGCTGAGAACACTCCAGGATGTAGCTCAGTGGTTGGGCACTTACCTAGCCTGTGTGAGACCCTGGTATCAATCCCCCGCACCACAAAGAAAAAAAAAAGCGGGAGGATGGGGGGATTTGAAGTTCTGTCTTTCTTTACTCACTTTCTGAGTTGGATATGAGAGGCTAGACATGTAATTCTGTGTAAGCCCTAAATTAATTGAATCCTCAGCATCACAACACACACACACACACACACACACACACACACACACACACACACAATTGCTGGGGTAGGGAAGAAAACACATATAAAACACACGGCTCCCAACAGCCTTTGCTCAACCAGTGCTAGACATTTTAAAATTTGCCGCATTCTCTCGATTCCTCCAAAGACTGGCCGACTCTCTCTGTAGCCAAGCCCCGCCATCAGCATGAATCTGTTCCAGACAATTCCTCAACGGAAAGGTGCCATGAGCTCCCAGATGGAGACCTTGGGCAACTTAGGATGGCATGACTAGAGAGAGTCCAGGCCTTTGGAAGGCCTGTGGTTCTCAGGATTAACCTCTGACTATCTGTAGGAGTTGATGGACGGGGAGTGGTGTCAGCATCGACGCCAGCCCATGGGCTTCTAAGTAAAATGATGTCTCCCTTGGGCAGGAGGCAGCATTTTCACCTAAGCCATAGTTCCCCTGCTTGGAGCACAGCCTCCTAAGTCTTCCACAAAGGACTGGGGTTGGGGGAGAGAGCTGTGTGAGTCAGAGTGTCCAGAACTTCTCAGGTTCCCAGCAATGACCCCTCATTAGAGGATCCTGCCTCCAGGCCCCCACTCACGACTGCCAGCCACGTCTGAGAGGTGTCCTTTCAGGCAGCCCGATGGAGGGGTCTCCTCCAGCACCCCACCCTGTGCTGTGTGTACCCTCCTCGGGTAAGCAGCCCTCTGGGTCTAACCGGAAGACCTCTCGCTGCTGTGCTTTGAGATTAAAGTCAGCAATTTGAAACTCCACAGGTTGCAGCTCTTCACAGGAGAAAGCAAAGAGAAGATCACCTGTAAAGTACATGGTGCAGACCATTTTGTGCTGGAGGCCTCTGTCGGATAGAGGGACTGCGGTGGCCTGACCGGTCAAGAGTACTGACAGAGCAGCCATAGGATTTTTCTGTCTGTGTACCCTTAGAAGGAATTTTCCAGATCCTGTCATGTATCAAGTCAGCCACTTCCCACCTTTCAGGGGGCCAGACTGTACAGGGGAACCCTAGGAAAACGTGGTATACTGAGCCTAACGGTATCTGTTTTACCAGGGTGGTAATTCCCATCCTCCAGGCCAGCTGAGCTGATCCCCTCTGTGGAAAAGTTCTGGAATTTCCCCTTTTCAGGCAGAGCCCTGATGGGCAATGGGGGGTGGGGTGGGGAGGGGGTTGGGGAGTGGGCGACAGGGGCTGTTGGAGAAAAGTGGCTAGTGCCTCTTACCTTGGAGCAGAAGTAAACCCAGGATGGCTGGACCCAGCCGCATGGCTCCGCTGGTCCCCATATCAGCTGGGCGTGTAGCCGGCAGGCTCCTCAGCGTACTCTCTGTCCATAGTGGAGAAGAGAGAGGGAGTGCTGGGGCGAGATGGGGGGGGGGAGGCCGGGGGTGGGGGGTGCTGGCTCTCCGGGAGCTTCCTGTTAAAGAATAGAAGGAAACAGATTGGGATTGGCTCCAGGGGCCCCAGTTGAGCACACAGCCCAGATGAGGATGTAAGTAAGCCTGAGCAGCAGAGGTTGTGAGGACTAGCCAGGGCCCCTTTGGCCTCTCTGGGTTCTGTGTACAATGACCGATGGTGGCTGTCTGTCCCCTTCCTCTCTGAGGGATCCCTCTGTCCCTCCCTGAAACACCTGCATTTCCCCCAAGCCTACTGCTGTTTCAGGCACATTCTCCTCCCCAAGGACTGAGACCTAAGCTCGACCCACCAGCTGCCCATGCTCTGAAGACTAGAAATTCTCCACATTCCTCTCCCCACTCAGGGCTACCAGTGCAGATGGGACTTCCAGCATCCTTTAGGGAGGCCTTACAAGAAATCTCATTATTCCTAATAGAATACAAGAGGTGGGCTGGGCAAAGAGGCCAGTGGGCAAAGAACTAGCCTTGCAAACATGAGAACCTAAGCTCCATCCTGACACCCCATAAAGAGCCAGGCAGGTGGCTGACCTGTAGTCCTGGGGTTCACTGGCCCTCCAGCCTACTTGGTGAGCCCTGGGTTCCTAGGAAAGACCCTGTCTCAAAAAACAAGTAGATGGCTCCTGAGGAACAACCTGAGGCTGGCTTTTGGTCTTTGTACAGACACTTGCACTGGTGTACACACGCACACACACACACACACACACACATACATGGGCACACACACATATACACAGTCATGCACACACATACACTCACCCCACACCACCCACAGACACACTCACACACATACACTTGCACACACACATATACACAGTGACACACATATATACACAGTCACATACATACTCACCCCACACCACCCACAGACAACCCCACACCCCCACACCACATGCACATAAACACATAAACACACACATATACACCACATACACACACTCACCACACACCATACACAAACACATAAACACATACATACACACCACACACACACACTCACCCCCCCACATACACACAAACATATAAATACATACATACACACCACATACACTCACCCTCCCCACACATGCACACAAACACACACACACCACAAGGATCACATGCCAGGCATCTGCCTCCCTAGTCCACTGTGTGCTTGGTTGGGCAATACCCTCTGCAGCACACCCCAGCCTCCCACTTTCTCCTGAAGAATGCAGACCAGCAGCATTCCCACACAAAATTTACCATACAGCAAGGCACACACACACACACACACACACACACACACACGTATTGATTTAAATCTAAAACATTTAAGAGTATGAGAAAAGATAATAGAACAGAGATACCTGACATCCAATACTACTTCCATTTGTTTATTTATTTAAGGCTTTCCCAGACAAGGTTTCTCTGTGTAGTCCCGACTGTCCTGGAACTCACTCTGTAAACCAGGCTGGCCTCAAACTCAGATCCTCCAGGCTCTGCCTCCCAAGTGCTGGGATTAAAGGCATTCGACATCATGCCCTCCCTGCCTGGTTGATTGAGTGATTGGTTTTTAGGCAGGACTTGGTATAATTCAGACTGGTCTGTAACTCACTTTGGAGGTCATGCCTCCCTTGAGTCCCTAACACACACACACACACACACACACACACACACACACACACACACTCTGCCACTTCAACCCAAATTCTGAGATTACGTATGTGGGTCACAATACCTTGCCTTTCTTATTTATTTATGTATTTATTTCATGATGTTGGGGCTCAGGACCACGTACAGAGATGCAAGCATACTTCCATGGAACTACATCCTGGTCCTTGTTTGAGGGGGATTTGTTTTTTCTTTTCCTTCCATCCTTCCTTTCTCTCCTTCTTTTCTTTTTGTGTTTTCATGACAGGGTTTCTCTGTGTAACAGCCCTGGCGGTCCCAGAACTCACTGTGTAGATCAGGCTGGCCTCAAACTCACAGAGATCAGCCTGCCTCTGCCTTCGAATGCTTTTCAGGACCTGGGAAAATTCTCTAGCAGAAGATCCAGGTTCGGTTCTCAGCACTCATATGGCAGCTCACAACCGTCTCTAACTCCAGTTCTGGGGAATCCAGTGCCCTCTTCTAGCTGAGCACTGGGATTGCACGCACAGGCTTATACAGACATAAATGCAGGCAGACACCCATCACATGATATTAGATTCAAATTCTAAAACTTAAAGATTTTATTTTTATTGATGTGTATTTGCATCTGTGTAGGTGTGTGTCACATATATACGAACATATGGGTGCCCATGGAGGCCAGGAAATGTGTCACTTAACTCTGTGTGCTCTTAACTGAGGAGCCTTCTCTCAAAACCCTGGTTTTTGTTTTTGTTTTGTTTGTTTGTTATCTTCTTTTTTTTCTTTTAAAGGTTTATTTATTTGCATTTTTAACATGTATGTCTTGCCTGTGTGTATAGTCTCTATGCCACATGTATGGAGTGCACTCTAAGGCCAGAAGAGGGCGTCAGATCTCCTGGAACTAGAGTTACAGGTGTTGGCTGCCATGTGGCTGCTGGGAATTGAACATAGATTCTTCAAGAAAGTGACAAGAACTTTAAACTGTTAAACCACCTCTCAAAACCCTGATCTTTTTCATTGTGCATATTTACAATCTTTTTTTTTTTTGTCTGTTTTTTGTTTTTTCGAGGCAGGGTTTCTCTGTGGCTTTGGAGGCTGTCCTGGAACTAGCTCTTGTAGACCAAGCTGGTCTCGAACTCACAGAGATCTGCCTGCCTCTGTCTCCCCAGTGCTGGGTTTAAAGGAGTGCGCCACCAACACCAGGCGTGTATTTACAATCTTTGGAGAATTTCATACACTGTGTGTTACATCATTTCCACCCCTTCCTCTCGGGCCCGCCTGCTCCTTCTCAAGTTGATGACCTCTTCTTCTCTAAATATTGTTGCTACTTTATATACACTTGCAGGCTTTGTTTATTTTACTTTGTTGCTGTTTTGAGACAGACTCTTACCCCAGAGCCCGGGATGGTCTCAAACTTCCTGTCTCAGACAAAGTTTGAAAATGTTAGAAACAGGTAGATTTGGAGACGGCTCAGTGGGGACCTGGGTTTGAACCCCCAGAACCTGTATGAAGCTGGGTGTGACAGTGTGGTTGCTGTAATCACAGTGTTCCGAGGTGAGATGAGAAGCAGAGTCCCCAGGAAACCAGAGATCCTGGCATATGCAGCAGCAAACAACAGTAACGTGGGATAACGCTCTTGCACATTGTAAAGATGTGTCACGCTTATTGGTTTAATAAAACACTGGCTGGCCAGTAGCCAGGCAGGAAGTATAGGTGGGGCTATCAGACAAGGAGAATGCTGGGAAGAGGAAAGGCAGAGAGAGACACCGTCATCAGCAGGGAGCGGAGGAAGCAAGATGAGAACGCCTTACTGAGAAAAGGCACAAAGCCACGTGGCTAAACATCATAGATAAGAATTATGGGTTAATTTAGGTTGTAAGAGCTTGTTAGTAATAAGCCTGAGTAACAGGCCAAATAGTTTATAATTGATGTCAGCCTCTGTGTGTTTATTTGGGAATGGACAGCTGCAGGACCGGGCAGGACAGAAACTCCTGTCTCCACGACATAGATGCCTCAAACAAAGTGGGAGATGAGGCTGACATCCAAGGCTTTCCTCTCTGCCCCTGTACGTGCTGGGGCACAAGCTTGCCCACACTCACACACGTAAACATGCACACGATGCTCCAAAGTATGCACACACACACACACACACACACACACACACACGGTACACGCAGAGACACACAAAGAAGAGCAAGTGTTAATAACAGGTAAGAAACACACTTGCTCGGAGTTTAAAGAAAGGAAAGGCTATTTGGCCCCAGGAACTGAAGTATGCTTCCAGGAGAGGATGCCCAAACTAACGAAGCCAGACAACTATAATTAAGGCTTAGACAGCAAGGGGGAAAAAAGGGCAGCTGTAACCATGCGCGTGGACATGGGAAAGTGTCGAAGAAAGCTGTGGACCAGAAAAGCCACACTCTTCCTCTCCCAAGCCCGGAAGTGAAAGACTTGACTTGGAACAGAGTCCGGATTCCCTCTGCCTAAGACCCAAGAGGACCAAGGTAGGAGGTAGAATGCCACCAGGGCCTTCAATTGCACGGGGAAATGATCAGTAGCAGATTTCATAACCTACCAGCAAGAGGCCTCAGGAATCTGAGGGTCAGCTCAATAGCCCTGGACTCAGTGGAGGTGACAGGAGGTGGGCAGCTTGGCTAAGAGACACGAAACCCTGATGGGGGAAGTCCTGTGTATATGTCAATAAAGCACTGTTGGCCAATAGGGAACCAAGATAGGTGGGACTAGGAATCCAGGAGGACTCTGGGTAGGAGAAACATAGGAGAAACACAGAAAGTCAACATGTAACGCCATGGGGTAGGAAGCCCGGAAACTTCTCCGGTAAGAGAAATACTTAGATTAACAATTATGGTGTAATTACTAAAGTCAGAGCTAGCCAGTAAGAAACAAGCAAGGCCAACAGCTTCATAATATTAATATAGCCTCCTGTGTGTTTATTTGGGACAGATACCGCTCTGGAACCAGGCTGGCGGGAAGGTTTCTCTTTACAAAACCCAGAGGCTGTTGGTACTTATTGCTTCAAGTCACATGGTGGGGAGGTCTTCTGGGAGTCCTCACATGAATAGAGGTCAGTTTGCGTCCAGGGGTAGGATGAGGAATGGCTGGTTGTGGGCAGCTAGTGAGGATCAAAAATTACCTTGGATCTGGGTGGTGGTGGTACACGCCTTTAATCCCAGCACTCGGGAGGCAGAGGCTGGCGGATCTCTGTGAGTTCGAGGCCAGGCTGAACCGACAGCCTCCAAAACAATACAGAGAAACCCTGTCTGGTAAAAACAAAAAACAAACAAACAAAAAAATACCTCGGAAAAACTAATCCAGGAGGGGTGGTACACACCTGTAATTCCAGTACTCAAGAGTCTGAGGCAGGAGGATGTTGAGTTTGAGGTCTGCCTGGGATATTTTTTTAATCTTTTAAAAAAATTTTATTATGTATGCATATAGTGTTCTATGCTTGAACACCAGAAGAGGGCACCAGATCTCATTATAGATGGCTGTGAGCCACCATGTGGTTGCTGGGAATTGAACTCAGGTCCTCTGGAAGAGCAGCCAGTGCTCTTAACCTCTGAGCCATCTCTAGCCTGGGATATTTAATGAGACCCTGTCTCAAACAAAACACAAACAGCTGGTCATGGTAGCATGTGCATTCAGGGCGGAGACAATCAGACTGCTAGTTTAAGGTCATTCTTAGCTACATAGTGAGTTTAAGACCAATCTAATCTACAAAACAAAAAACAAAAAAACCCCAACCTTATCTCAAAAACAACCAGAGAGGTGCCTGGCAGTGGTGCCGCACGCCTTTAATATCAACACTCGGGAGGCAGAGGCAGGTGGATCTCTATGAGTCTACAGAGCAAGTTCCAGGACAGTCAGGGCTGCACAGGAAGATCCTGTCTCAAAACAAAACAAAACAAAACAAACATAACCCGGAGAAAAGGGGCTGGAGAGATAGCTCAGAGGTTAAGAGCACTGGCTGTTCTTCCAGAGGTCCTGAGTTCAATTCCCAACAACCACACGGTGGTTCACACTGTCTATAGCGGGACCTGATGTCCTCTTTGCCATAAAGGCATATGTTGGGGGAAGTCCTGTGCATTTGTCAATAAAGTACTGTTGAGCCCGGCTAGCTCAGTCGGTAGAGCATGGGACTCTTAATCTCAGGGTCGTGGGTTCGAGTCCCACGTTGGGTGCCAGGACTGCTGATTAATGATAGTGACATCACTTCCGGTGTCCAATAAGCCGTGAATCACCCTATTATTTACCTTAACTGGTAGCTTGGGTCTATGATATTGTATAGAAGTTTGCCAAAATATATGTTTTGTATCTCCTCCTGATGTAATTGATTCATCCTCTGGAGCTAATGTATTATCCAGTGCTGTATTATTTACAATGGGCAAATGGGACCTTCATCTACATAAAATAAATAAATAGATCTTAAAAAAAGAAAAAAACAGAGAAAAGGATGTCTTGCAAAGGAATATAAATCAGATAGGTGTTTGGTTATCATGAGGTTTAAAGAGAAATGTGTGGTGAGGTAAGGAAGTGAGGGCTTCTAGTATATATTATTATATATTATAAAACTTATTTTGGGTGTGTATTGGGATGGGTGTGTGTAGGTCAGAGGACACTTGTATGAGTCAGGTCTCTCTTACCATGTGGATCCTGGTAACCAAATTACGTCATCAGTCTTGGTAGCTACCGCCTTTACCAGATGAGCTATCTCGTCAGAATGGGATTTCTGTTTTACTGGTAACATTTTAGGTCCTTGTTCTCTTGTAAACCAGGCTGGTCTTGAACTCACAGAGATCCGCCTGCCTCTGCCTCCCAAGAGCTGGGATTAAAGGTGTGAGCCACCACCGCCTGGCTAGGTCCTTGTTCTCAGCACAGAGAAAGGACAAAAAAAAAATTTAAGATTTATTTATTTATTACATATACAGTGTCCTGCCTGCATACCAGAAGAGAGGGCACCAGGCTGAATTATAGATGGTTGTGAGCCACCACGTGACTGCTGGGGATTGAACTCAGGATCTCCGGAAGAGCAGCAGCCAGTGCTCTTAACCTCCGAGCCGTCTCTCCAGCCCAAAAGGACAAATCTTTACAGTGAAAAGCTACAGCTCTTTCAGAATTTGTGTAACAGGTGTGTGGTTTATACCAGAAAGACCCCTACCTCCCCCACTATCCTGACCTCCCCACCCTTGCAAAAAAAAAAAAAGTCTTCAGTGATAGATGTACCACCTACCCTCAGCCGATGTTTATATATCTGTACACTTTATTAAAAGTGGCTGCACACAGTGGCCTAATCTTATAATCTGAGCTCTCTGGAGGCAGAGGCAGGAAGATCACTAGTACCAGGTGGGTCAGATCCACATAGTAAGACCCTGTCTCAAAGAGAGGGAGGAGAACAGCTACATTATATTCCATAAGTTTATACAATGACTGTGCCAGTTAAAAATAGGGGACAGAGAGATGAAGCAGTGGTTTAGGACATGTGTCCTTGCCCTTTATTTTTTTATTTTTAGTTTTGCAAGACAGGGCTTCTCTGTGTTACTGCTGTGGCTGTCCTGGCACTCACTCTGTAGACCAGGCTGGCCTCGAACTCACAGAGGTCTGCCTGCCTCTGCCTCCCGAGAGCTGGGATTGAAGGCCTGAGCCGCCACTGCCCGGCTAGAACACTTGTCCCTCTTGCTGAGAACTGGAGTTCCATTCAAAGCACCCGACGACCATCAGTAAGTCCAGTTTCAGGGGGATATGAGGCCCTTTTCTGATTTCCTCAGATACCAGATGTGCGTACAATACTGAAAGACCCCTAACCAGGACCCCCTAGGAAAAGAAAAACAAGGCCAGGCCGTTGCCTAATGTAAAAACCCAGACCAGGTGCCTCGCCCAGCTGGTAGGATGTCAAACAGGATCTGTGGTCACCAGAGCAGTCATGGGACCCGGATAATAATTGCTGAAGCGTGCTGGGGTCTTTCATGAGGTAATACTAGGAAACCTAGTCCGTGGGAACTACCCCCAAGATGAGCCAATGAAATGCCTGTTGCTATGCTGATACTTATGTAACCATTAAAACTCTATAAATATTGTGCTCCCTGCAAGCCCGGTATGCTCTGCACCCGAGTTGCAGTAGCATCCGCAGGCGCCTATGTACTCAATAAATCACCTCTTGCATTTGCATCCAGTGGTCTGGCCCCAGTTCTTGGGCAGAGGGTTCGGTTCAGTGCCCGGCGCTTTGATGCCGTGGTCTTTCAATACTTATATGCATAAAATAAAATGAATAAATCTAAATAAAACTCTGCTTGATGCACAATGTTAAAATTAATAAAATAAAAATAAAAATAGCTGGCATTGGAGCTCTATGAGTTCAAGACCAGCCTGGTCTATTAAGAAAAAAAAAAGATGGCTTTTCTGGGTGGTGGTCCACACACCTTTAATCCCAGCACTTGGGAGGCAGAGGCAGTCAGATCTCTGCGGGTTTGAGGCCAGCCTGGTCTACAAAGTGAGTTCCAGGACAGTCGGGGCTACACAGAGAGATCCTGTCTCAAAACAACATCAACAATAATAGATGACTTAGCAAATAAAAGTTTGATCCTCAGAATCAACATAAAGGTGAAAACAAACCAACTCTACAAAGTTGTCCCCTTGACCTCCACACACCTGCAAGACACAAGTGCCCCCGTAACGCCACGCATACACACACACACACTTGGTGACCACAATTAAAAAAAACAAAAAACAAATTGGTAAAGCAAAGACACGGGTGGGCTGAGCTGTCGGACTGCAGCGTTTTAGAGCCATCACGTGTCCAGTATATTACATAGGGTGTGTGATCAACTCTGCAGGGCTTGAGCTACTTTACATATAACAAGGAAAGAGCCAAAGGACCTCAGTTGGCTTCAGGAAACGGAGAGTAGGAGAGTGGGCAGGTCCTAGGGAGGGAGTAACCATCGACCAGGTGTCTGTAGTCTGTCAGAGGGGAAATGGGCAGGGCAGTTTAGGCCCCTGAGCAGCAGGAGGCATCAAAGGAAGTGCCTAAGAGAAAGATCAAGGTACTCCCAGAGTTGAAGACTGGCCCTGTGTCTGCAGCCTAGAGTACAGGCGCGGGAAAGAGCAGGGAGGGTGTGTGCAGAGGGTGTGTGCCCAAGCACACCACGGACGTGGCAGCTCCGGGTAGGGGCTGAACGTAGGGCCGTGAGCTCTCTTCCTTTGCCCAGCTGGTATCCAGTCCCAAGAGAACTCGACTCCAGCCCCGGACAATGCACCAGGTAGACTCTCTGCTCACCCCTTCCTGCCAGCCTGGCCTGACTCCTTCTGGGGCCCCATGCCTTTCCCAACCTAAGCTTCCTTCTCTCTTTGTATACCTGAAGTGGGTGTCTTGTGCTCCTGCCGGGAGGCCTGTGACGGCCCCCAGCACCCCCAGCTCAGCCCTTCACGGGTATTGAGATGGGATCCAGGGACAATGTGGCAGAGGGACTAAAGGAAATGGGTTTTGTCTGGTCGGCTTCCCATGGCTCCAAATGCCTTCCACAGAATGGGCTCAGAGTTAGAGAGGTACCCCCTCCAACTTTCCCAGTGTACTGTAGAATGATGGTTGGAGGGAGGGAGGCCACCTCACTGACTCTGGGCTTCCCTTCCTTTACTGAGATCCCCTCACTCCTACTCAACGTCCAGCAGGTAGGGCCACACTAGTGACATGGGGCTATGTCCTCAGCATAGAGGACATAACAGTAGAAAACAAAAACAAAAACCAGAGATCCTGGCGAGGGTAGACTGGTACAGAATCTCCTCAACCCATCCTGGGCATAGCCAGGAGTCTATACCAGATTCCAGCCCTATCTAGGCCTCTAGAACTTGGTCCCAAGCCCTGGGGGGGGGGATGGGGCATGGTTATGGGATGAAGTATGGGTATACATCCCAGCTCACACCAATTCCTGAGGTTCAGGTCCCCTCTTCCTGTCCCCTGCCAGGGTACCACCTTTGTGATTCCTAGGGACTTAGAATAGGGGAGCATCTGAGACTAGACAATGACTCCCCTTTTCCAGAGCAAACTTGAAGCAGCTGCTGCCCACTGCCCAGGGTGTGGGGCAGCAGCCCAAAGAGGACTCAGATTTCTCACAGGATCTGCGTGTGACTCTTGCTGGAGGCCTGGGAAGAGGGAGAAAGAAGAGGAGACTTGGGGGACAAGCTGTATTTATTGCGCCGGACGATAAGAAAGCCTCTCCCTTTGCCCTTTATGAGTGACTTAAACCCTGTCTTTCAGGGATTTCTGTTTGTTCTTCTGTCACTGTCTCCATCTTCATTTCTGTTTCTGTCTTTGTTTCCCTACTCCCCACCCCCACCCCCTGTATCTCTCACTGTCTTTGTCTTTCAGTTTATTGTTTTGTTTTGTTTTGTTTCCGAGAAGGGTTTCCCTGTGTAACAGCCCTGGCTGTCTTGGAGCTCACTCTGTAGACCAGGCTGGCCTCGAACTCACAGAGACCCACCTGCCTCTGCCTCCCGAGTGCTGGGACTAAAGGCTTGCACCACCACTTCCCGGGCAGTTAATTGTTCTTGTGGGTGTATTTAACCCTCCTCTCTTCCTCTCCCCTCTGTCTATCACCATCCCTGGGGTTTTCTGTTTCTCGGATCCCTTCCTGTCCTTCGGCCTTTTCCTGCGTGCTCACGCCCACGTCAGCTTCTCTCTGTCATCTCTCCTCCTCCTCCAGGATGCCCGCTATCCTCAGCCTTCTCCGTCTGTGAATGGTTCGCTGGAGCAGGAGCCTCAAAGGCGGCTCCCGGAGATGCTGGGTGAGGTCTGGGAGAGCCCCCGAGAGGACGGGCTGCCTCTGCTCATTGTCATCATCGCCGCCTTCGTTCTGCTAGCGCTCTGCATCGTGCTGGCTGTGCACTGTGGACCCACATTGCACAAGGGCCACGCCGCTCTCCTGACAGAGCCACCAGCACTAAAGCCGGAGAACGGCGTTTCCCTCATCCACTGGCGACTGCTGGACCAGCCGGAGAGTCACACACAAACCCAGCGGGGACTTCCTACCCCTCACTCTGGCTCTGCCGGAGGTGGGCACAGGCCCAGCGTTGATGAAGTCACGTATCTGTAGGAGGGTGATTTGGAGTCAGCCCCGACTGGTCTCAGAAACAAGAACCTGGACCGAAAAAGTGAATTGGGACCTGGGGTGTCTGGACTCAGCCAGAGCAACCCTCAGGCGTTTGACGAGAAAGCTGCCCGTGGTGACAAGAAACATAAAAGCCACCTAGGACCTTGCCCACAGACATGGTGCCAAGGACACCCTTGCAACGTTTCCCCTCGGGGACCTCCGGAACCTCCTCTGGGTTCCTGTTCCCTTCTTGTACCTCTGGTCTCCATCCCTGAGCAGGAATATCAGAGAAGGCCCTGCCTCCAAACATTGCTGATCCAGGGAGAGCTAAGGCAAGGGACTGTGGGATGCCTTCTCTGTGACACTGGGTACTTGGAAAGGCGGCAACCTCTGTTGCCTTCCGGGGGAGCCTTGGCTGTTAGCCTAGGCCTTGTCCTGACACCCAGAGCCCTTGGAATCCTTAATCTCCACTTAGAGTTCCAAGACTGGGCCTTGATTTGTCCCCCAACTCTGCCTCGACGTCCTAGGGTATGATGGGGGTAGTTTAGGGGCTCTTATTACCTCTTACTTTCTGGGTGAGGGTGGGCCTGTTGGAACAAGCCTGAATTTTGCTACAAATCTGTTCCAGCTCCAGAACTTTCCAGCGAGAGTGGGAAAACAGAAAAAAGCAAAGGAACTCTATGGAACTTGTTTGGGAAAGGAGGGAGCATGGAGGGGATCCATCCCTGCCGGGAAGGAGCACAGTTCATCCCGTGGTCAGGAAAACAAAGCTGGCCTAGGGTGCCTCTCTGGAAAGGTACCCCTTCCTCTGGTACCTCAGCACCTCACTCATGTGCAGTCAGACACATACAGACATAAACCACACAAACTGGGCATGGCGGTACTGTCTTTTAATCCTAGAGGTGGGGACAGGAGGATCAGAAGTTCAGAGTCACTCTCAAGGGCTCAGCAAAAGGGGAGGGGTTAGTTGTGGTGGCTCAGGCCTTCAATCCCAGTACTCAAGAGGCAGAGGCAGATGCATCTCTGAATTCAAGGTAGTGACACTACTTTTTCTTTCTTTTTTAATATTTTGTTTATTTATTATGTATACAGTGTTCTGCCTGCAGGCCGGAAGAGGGTTCCAGACCTCATTATAGATGGTTGTGAGCCACCATGTGGTTGCTGGGAATTGAACTCATGACCTCTGGGAGAGCAGTCAGTGCTCTTAACCTCTGAGCCATCTCTCCAGCCCGTGAGGCTCTTTCTTAACGAAACAAAAGACATTTATGAAGACACCTCTGGTGCTTGACCCTTGGGAAACCCCACGGAATGACAGAGGCTGGGAACCAGGAAAGGAGAGGCGCTTGCTTCAATCCCAGCACTCAGGAAGCCCAGGCATGAGGTTCTTGTGAGTTCAGGGCCAGCCTGGTCTACAGAGCGAGTTCTAGGCCAGCTAGGGCTGTTACACAGTGAAACCCTGTCTCAAACAAAAACAAAAACAAAAAAACAAGGGCAGCTGTGAGCTAGGCAGTGGTGGTGCACGTCTTTAACCCCAGCACTAGGGAGGCAGAGGCAGGCAGATCTCTGAGTTTGAGGCCAAGGACAATCAGGGCTACACAGAGAACCTCTGTCTGAAAAGAAAAAAAAAAGACACCATGATGGACACAGGTACCAAGCAATGAAGTTAGGATTTGAACTTGACCTTCACTGGCTCCCACAGCCTAGGAACCATCCTGGGGACTGGTGGGTCAATCATAGTCAAGCCGGGGACGTCCTTGATTCTGGGCTGGTTGCTGGAGAAGGGGTGTCAGGTGTGATAGAGCCTCCTCAGTGTTGGGGCAAAGATAGTTGTGGCAGTCAGAGAAGGGACTGCCCACCACTTGATTTCCCCTGGGTCTGCTATCCTTAAGCAACTGGCTTCCTCTGACGTGTGTGTGTGTGTGTGTGTGTGTGTGTGTGTGTGTGTGTGTGTGTGTAGTGTGTGAGTCCTCCAAAGTGACACTTCAGAAACGTAGAACGAAGGCTGAGGGCATATACCTCAGTGGTTGAGCGCTTGCCTGTGCGAACAAGCCCACACACAAACTTGATTGTCAGTACTAGAGAAAACACACACACACATAAAACAAACAAAAAAGAGATACATAATGGCACCCTGAGCCAAGAAAAAAAAGGCAGAGGGAGGCCACGTGTAAAGTCTGGGTGGGGCTGGCAGGAAGGACTACCTGCCCTCCCAGATGGGGGTGGCAGTGCCGCCATAATGTCATTACAATGGCATAAGGTAGGGTGAATGGCCATGCCGTCCTGTGTTCCCAGGGAATGTCCTGTTTCCTCACACACTCTTCGTCCCTGATCCCTTCACAACTCTCTTAGAGAGCATCTGTTTGGTGGCCTCTGCTTCTTTGACTGGCCCTTTCCCTGAGACACAGCAATGTGCCATTGGTGGCATCTATGTGCTGGCTCCACTCAGCCGGGGCTTCCGATCCTTCTGCCTGCCCCTAGAGGCAAGGACACTGAAAGCAAAGCTGGGGTGTGCCCTGAGTGTGCCCTGAAATGGTACCCATCTCCCACTGCCCTGTAGTACGATGAGGAGGAACACAGCAAGTGTGCGTGCTGCATACGACGCCACCGGTCGTGGATGCCAGGGGTGATGTGCTCCAGTGCCCCATAGCCAACACAGCCTAGCAGCAGAAAGACAGTGTGCTCAAACCAGGTAACATGAGGAATGCCTTTAAATAGGACCACATGCAGCCGGGCAGTGGTGGCACACACCCTTTAGTCCCGACACTCGGCAGGCAGAGCAAGCTGATCTCTGTGAGTTCCAGGCCGGCCTGGTCTACAGAGCTACACAGAGAAACCCTGTCTCAAAAAAGAACCACATTCAAGGGACAAGATATAAGAGGACCACAGAGAGTAAGTACTCCAGTGCTAGGGTCAGGGGGAAGAAGTCCTTCCGAAAACATGAGGATGGACATGCCTACTGAAAAGATGACTCGGTGACTGCGTGCAGGTAACAGAACAAATGCCCCTCACTTGCCCTCCCCGGATCTACTGAAGCTCCCATTGAGCACACATGACCAGAAGCTGGTCTGCTGGGACCATCCAGGCAGGTCAACTCATAGCAGAGGATGCTGGAGCATCCACGGGAAATACTTGGCCTCTCTCTGAGGTCTTAACCTGGCAACTGACACCAAACTTCTACATGGTTTTTTTCTTTCTCACAAAGAAAAACCCTACGAGGTGGGCAGGGCAATCATTATGATCACATTCCACAGGGGAGTAGGCTGAGGCTCAGAGGGGGTGAAACGGCTTGCCCAGGAGCCTGGGACTCATCGGGAAATATGAAACCTCTGTGTGGCCTCCAGCCCTCGAGGCAAGCCCCAGTCAGGAAGCTAAAGGATCGCCCCAGAGGCTCAGGCAAGGCTGTCCCGTGCCTCAGATGAGGTCAGTACGCAGTGGGAGGGGCTGCTCCATATCACTGATGAGGAGTCTGGGTTCCTGGGACAGCACAGAGGAGTGGGACGCCACTGAGGTCTGGGGGCCGCTCATGGTGACTTCCTCCCGTTCTTCCTGACGGATGTGCCGGAGAACCTCCTGAGACAGCGAGAAGCTGTTTCCCTCTTCTGGTTCTGGGACAGGGGTACGGAGTCGGGGTTAGGTGAGGACCACACACTCCCGACAAGAACGCATGGACCCTTAGGAAGCGCTGTGCGAGCCCCTCTACCCGTCTGCCCCACAGCCTCCGGGGTAGTCGTCAAGGTCACGGAAGCTCACCCTCCTGCTTTTAGAGATGATGTTCAGAGAGGGCAAAGACCCGCTTAGAGGCCACACAGCCAAGGAGTGACAGAATCAAGGCTGGCCACAATCAGGTGGCAAGAAGACATCTACCGGAGGGTAAGCACAGCATGTCCCATCTCACCACTTGGGAAAGCCCGGGGGAAACTCTGCTTCCTTGTCTCTGTCCTTCTGTGAGACCCTGGAATGCCTGCCCTCCAGCCCTACCAGTCTCTCACCTTGGTAGACAATGAGGCGGCAGTTGTTTCTAGACTCGGGGACATCGGCCAGGATGTCTTCAAGTATCCGGCAGAAGAGTTTGGCTTGCTCAAGCCGGTCCTCCCGGCTGAAGCCAGCTTTCCCATCCTGTGACATGGCGAACAGGGTCTGCAGGGGGGTGGCATACTCCAGGATACAGGCGCCTGCCTGGAGGAGGTGAGGACAAGGTTAGACTAGACTAGAGCCAGGCCCCTGAGAGATGAATTGTGGACCTGATGCCATCCATGGGCAGAACGAGAGTCCTGGGACATAGCTACCCAACTAGGGCCTCTGATGCCCCCTACTTAGCTAAGGCCTGGGCTGCCCTAAACACTCTTCACAGACCCTTCTTCCCCATGGATCCTAGAGCGTGGCATTCTGGCTGGAAACGGAATCTGGGGGGAATGCTCTGGGGTTTTGCTTTGCTCCGGCCTTTCCCAACCCTTCAAATGCTCTCACAGCTGCATTTTTTTGTGCGTCCCTGAGCCTTACTTTCCTCCATTATAGGAGGGATCACAACAGTCCCCCGCCCCACAGGTTGGTAGTAAGGTTTAATGAGGTGGCCATACGGTGCACACAGAGTAGTTTCTGATATACAATAAATACTCCATGAGTATTGCTCTTTTTTTTTAACGATTTATTTATTTATTATGTATACAGAATTCTGTATGCATGCATTCCTGAATGCCAGAAGAGGGCACCAAATCTCATTATGGATGGCTGTGAGCCACCGTGTGGTTGTGTGTGGTTGCTGGAATTGAACTCAGGACCTCTGGAAGAGCAGCCAGCACCCTTAACCTCTGAGCCGTCTCTCCAGCCCGAGTGTTACTCCTTTATATATGTTCATAACTGAATCTTGCCTTGCCCTGGGACCAGCTGTGCAACCAGGCTCAGCAAAGAGTTATGAGTTCTTATCACCAGCGTGTGGCAGGGACCCAGGCTTCTAGGGAGAATGGCCTTTTCCCCAAAGTCTCAGTTCTGTACACTTACCGGTTGCCCCTTCTCCAGAAGTTCATAGACACTGTTGGAATAAACCCGATTCTTGATGCCAGCACGGTTCATGTTTTGCTGGGGCAGCATGTCTCGGAAGCGAATGTTGGGGTCAGCCACACTCAGGTCATCAGGCACCCCACAGTCCAACGGGAAGAGAATATACAGCCGTCGGCTCCCTGCTCCCCGTAACATGTTGTTGTGTAGCTGATTGAACATTCGGATCCGGGCCTGGAGCCCTGCGGGGAAGTCCAAGAAACCATCTCCTTAGCTTTGTCTCCCACCCAATCTGGAACTGAGACACAGGTTAGACCCAGACAGTGGTTAGGAGCACTTGACTGCTCTTCCAGAGGGCCTGGGTTTGATTTTCAACACCCATATGGTGGCCACTCATCTATAGTTCCAGTTACAAGGAATCTGATACCCTCTAGGCCATCCATGGGCATTAGGCACATACATTGTACACAGACAAACACGCATTAAAAACATCCATATTCATAAAAATATAATTTGATAAAAGAAAAATAAAATTAAATATATAACTCTAAGACAATGTGATTAAAATGAAACAGGAATGATGATGGTCCCATATAGCATATGAGTTCAAAGAGAAAAGGAACATTAGGGGATCCAGCATGATACAAATATTTTTCTAAATCATTCGTGGGGACTGAAGAGTTGGCTCAGCAGTTAAGAGTACTTGCTGTTAGCTGGGTGTTGGTGGTGAACACCTTTAATTCCAGCACTCGGGAGGCAGAGGCAGGTGGATCTCTGTGAGTTCGAGGCCAGCCTGGTCTACAAGAGCGAATTCCAGGACAGCTTCCAAAACAATACAGAGAAACCCTGCCTCGAAAACAAAAACAACAAAACAACCAACAACAACCAAGCCACAGGTCTCATCTAAAGCTGGAGAGGGAAAAAGTAGCCTACCTGGCAAGATCAGCCGCAGGTACCCAATGTAGTATGACCAGGCCAACCCATGTGCAACATTGAAGTTCTTTTTTTCACAGACAGCAGAGATTTCCGCCGGGGCCAGGCTCTGTAGACATCAGGAAGGGCCTGAGAGACTTCCAAGAGGCACAGGACAGCCAGAGCCCTTCCTTCTCCTGCAGGAAGCTTTTCCAATCTGCTGCCCCCTTGCTGTCCCTGCTGCGGCTCAACCCACCGTCCATCCCAAGCCTCGCAAGCTCTACACCCAGCTCCCGAACCTTTAAGCCAGCCTCAGTGCCAGCACTGAACTCAGGTCAATACTAGTCAGGGTCCCACCAACCCAACCACCCTCCCCACTGACCCAACCACCCACCTCTCCCCACATGTCCTACCTGGAGGCCCAGAAGGATGCCGACAGACTGTGAGAGGCCCAGGAGGCCAAGCATCCAAATGAGAGGCAGACCAGTGTTGCTTGGGAGGAAGCCATAGAAATAACAGGACAGCAGCAGCAGCGCCACACGGCGGATAGGGCAGCCCAGGCAAGCATAGGCAGCCTTCCAGTAGTTGCTCTGATACCTGCAGGAGACAGGCCCAGCCTAACTCAGCCAATGAGGTTCACAGAAGGCCAAGGTTAGGAGTCAAGGGTTTGGTACCCAGTCACCATGGGCACTACATAGGGTCACCTGGAGTGGACATGGCACAGCTCTTCAGCCAGACAGCAGAGCTCTTTCAGCAGCAATCCAAGTTGCAGGGAGGCTAGGTGGAGTACCAGGTACTGGAGTGTGTGGTTTGGTGGATCCCCTGACCACCAAAGGATCATTAGGCTGGCCACCAGCAAGACCAAGGCTGCATGTTTGGACCGATTACCTCTGGGACGTGGGATGGATGGATGCAGGCTGGAATATGGCATCTGTGGGCATTAAAAAAGACCACAGCTGTGTTTCTGATCCTCTCTTGCCCTTGGCCGACTGAGATCTTGACTAGCCACCTCCCTAGGTCTCCCATCCCTTGTTGCCCAGCTATTCCTACAGAGGTATATTATAAACAGAACCCATGCAGGCCTCATTGATCCCACTGGTGTGATAAGAAAGAAGAAAGTGGGGCTGGAGAGATGGCTCAGAGGTTAAGAGCACTGACTGCTCTTCCAGAGGTCCTGAGTTCAATTCCCAGCAACCACATGGTGGCTCACAACCGTCTACAATTCAATCTGGTGCATGCCCTCTTCTGGCATGTAGACAAACTGTATCTGTAATAAATAAATAAATCTTTAAAAAAAGAGTAAAAAAAAGAAGGCACTCTTTCAAAAAAAGAAAAGAAAGAGAGAAAAAAGAAAGTGACAACCCAAGACCTAGTCTCAAAGTGTTCTGTGTTGCCCTGGGTGGTGGCACACACCTTTAATCCCAGCACTTGGGAGGCAGAAGCAGAGGGATCTCTGTGAATTGGAGGCCAGCCTGGTCTACAAAGGGAGTTCCAGGACAACCTCCAAAGCTACACAGAGAAACCCTGCCCTTAAAAAAAAAAAGTGTCCTGTGTCAACCTGCCCACCCGGGATTGTTTCAGCCATGGAGTACCAGGACAGTACAGCCCCATTTCTAATCCTACCTTCAGCCTCCTAGACTGAGGTGTTCCTGGAGCAGGAGAGACAGGGAGGAGCCGTACAGTAGCTACTGACAAGCAGCCTCTTGAAGGAAGGGTAGACTAGAAATGAAATGTTAAAAACAACTGCAGCTTCCTCAGTAAAACCGCAACACCGGCCCCCTCACAGTTTTGGGTTCTCTAGGGAGAAGTGTGTTTCCTGCCAAAGCACCCCCACACCACCCCCCGGCAGCCTTGATAAACCGGGTCTGAGTAGAGGAGAGGGAATCAGGCTGGAGACATCCCCTCCATTGCCCTTTGCAAACCCCCAAAACCTAGGGTGTTCAGAGTCACTTACCAGCAGCCACAGCCCTGCACTCTGGGTTCCTCCCAATCTCCCAGGGTGTAACACACTCCAGTGGACACCCTGCAGGATCCCACACAAGGGCCAAATGTGATGTGACAGGGCACCTCGGGATTCCCAGATGTTCATAAATCTGCTAATGCCTGGGATACCGGGAGGGGAGGGTTGGGGCAGGAGAGGTTGAGAGGGAGGGTCAACGGCACATGTTACTTCCTGAAACCAACCCGCTCTGAGCAGAGTTTGGTGGAAGAAGCCTAGAAGAGGAGGGGTGCTGGGTTCTGGGAAAGGACCACGCCTAAAACTTAGAAAGTTCAGGCAGAGTGCGCGGGTACTGGCACTCTGAGTCCTGAATCCTGTTTCGCTCATCCACCCCCCCCTCCAGACTTCCCAGCTGCTGGCTCTAATTCTCTCCTGGTTTTTTGTTTGTTTTTACAATTACAGCCTTTTATTTGTTGTTGGGGGAACTAAAATAAACTATTATTTATTCTCTCCTTTAACCATGTGGGTCCCAGGGATCCAACACATTCTTAAGCTTAGCAGTAAGCACCTCTTACCTGGTAACCATCAGGCCAGCATTTTGTCTTTCTTTTTACGTGAGGGTGATCCGAGCTCAGAGAGGTACAATAACTTTACCCACGTGAGCGAGGCTTTGAAGCCCCTGAGTTGCTCGGAAGCCGTTGGCTCTGTGCCTTGTTTTAGAAGCAGATGGAAAATGCCAGGACCATGGCTCATGTAGTTCCCCTGGCACAGGGAGAACCCAGCTGCCGCAGCCCTGGGCTGAAGTTGTTTATTCTCCCATAGGCAAGAAAGTCCTCTCCTGAACCCCTCCCCACATCACCAGCAGACACAGGAAAAGACAGACATTTCAAAGATGCCCCTTGCCTCCCAATAACACTTTGGCTTCCTGGAAAGTCCTTGAATTTTTTAAAACAAGTTCCTTGAACTGCAGGGAATCCCCTACAATTTCCCTTCCCTACAGTTGACTCGCATAAAGGGCTAAAGGGGTAGGTGACCAACAGGAGAATTATGACTCCTTGCAGTAGGAAGCTAGGTGATTTTATGGTTTTCATTCCCTACATGGAACAGAAAGTATGTGTATGATGTATACGGCATGATGTGTACTATGTACAGTAGCACAGAAGGGTGGGTGTGTTGGTGTATGTCTGTAATCCCAGCACCAGGGAGACTGAGGTAGGAATGCTGCGCTGGGTTTCTGGAAAGCCTGGTCTACACAGGGAGCAACAAGGAAGCATCTATCCAGGAGAGGCTGGAGAGGTGGCTCAGAGACTGAGAGTCCTGACTGCAGTTGCTGCTTCTGCCACTGCTGGTGGCGGTGGCACACGCCTTTAGTCCCAGCGCTTGGGAGGCAGAGGCAGGTAGATCTGTGAGTTCAAGGCCAGCCTGGTCTGCAGAGTGAGTTCCAGGACAGCCAAGGCTGTTACACAGAGAAACCCTGTCTCACAGAACAAAACAAAAAGAGTCCCTGCTGTTCTTCCAGAGGACCCGAATATAGATTCCCTATACCTATATGATGGTTCACAGCCATGTCTAACTTCATTTTCAGGGGATTTGATGCCTCTTCTGGTACCAGTTATGAAAGTGGTACATGCAGGCAAAATACGATACACACTAAATAAGTAAATAAATAAACAGATATTCTTGTTATTTGGTTAGAAGAAACCTTCTTGACATTGCCTCCATGTGGGCACTGATTCCTTCCTTCCTTCTCTTTTAATTTTGCAAAAAAGTGTTTCTCCCAGTCTCTCCTGTTTCAATTGTTACTTTTCATGCTGTGTTGTATATTTTGATTGTAGGAACTGTTTATATAATTGATCAGCCTTCTTCCGTGTCATCCCACTCCCTAGAAAGACAGCTACCTATGTCGTTTATTATTACCATTAGTGTTTTATAGTTATGAAATACACAGACATCAATAAATGACATAAAGGAGAGATGGCTCAGAGGTTAAGAGCACCGACTGCTCTTCCAGAGGTCCTGAGTTCAATTCCCAGCAACCACATTTTGGCTCACAACCATCCGTAATGAGATCTGGTGCCCTCTTCTGGCCTGCAGACATACATGGAGGCAGGATGTTGCTTTCATAATAAATAAATAAATCCTTAAAAAATTAAATAAAAGATATATATGTAAAAAAAAAAAGCAGGGTTTCTCTGTGTAACAGCCCTGGCTGTCCTGGAACTCTCTCTGGAGACCAGGCTGGCCTCGAACTCACAGAGATCCACCTGCCTCTGCCTCCCGAGTGCTGGGATTAAAGGCGTGCGCCACCAACGCCTGTTTGGGCACTGTTTTCTGCTTGCTCCATCCCCTTTACTCGTCCACTATTCTGGGCAATGGAGTGCATGCATGCCACAGAAGGTACTGAGTTAGGTTCTTTAGGAACAGATATGCTTGGAAGTCAGGAGCAAGGAATGATGGAGACCAAGGGTCTCAGTTAGGATCTCTATTGCTGTGATGGAACACCATGACCGAAAAGAAAACGGGGAGGAAAGGGTTTATTAGGCTTAAACTTCAGCATTGCTGTTCATCACTTGAAGGAAGTCAGGACAGGAACTCAAACAGGGCAGGATCCTGGAGGCAGGAGCTGAAGCAGAGGCCATGGAGGGGAGCTGCTTACTGGCTTGCCTCCCCACGGCTTATTCAACCTACCTTCTTAGAACCCGGGACCAGCAGCCCTAGGAGGGCACCGCCCACCACGGGCGGGGCTCTCCCCCACTGATCACTAAATCAGAAAATGCCTTACAGCTGGGTCTCAGGAAGGAGGCATTTCCCCAGCTGAGTCTCCTTTCTCTGTGGACTCAAGCTAATTCACAAAACTGCCTTGTCAACTCGACACACAAACACATTACTATTAAACCGCAATCCTTCCTTTCTTACTCATCCCCATGATCTTAGATAATTTTAAATGTCCCACACTCTTTTTTTTTTTTTATGTGGGAAGTTTTTTTGGGGAAGGGAAGGGAGTGGAAGAAGGGAAGGGAGAGAGGGGAGAGAGAAAGAGAGAGACCTGCCTGCCTCTTCTCAGGAAGACTTTTTGTTTGGTTGGTTTGGTTTGGTTTTCGTATTTTGTTTGTTTGATTGATTTTTTTTTTTCAAGACAGGGTTTCCTCTGTAACAGTTCTGGCTGTCCTGGAACTCACTCTGCAGACCTGGCTGGCCTTGAACTCAGAGATCCGCCTGCCTCTGCCTCCTGAGTGCTGGGATTACAGGCGTGCACCACCATCACCCAAAAAGTTCCACAGCCTTAACAAATACAAGCATATTAAAATTTCAATTCCTTTAAAATAGTCAATTTTATTTGCCGGGCACTGCTTCTCTGTGCTCTCAGGAAACGCTTCCCAGAAGATAGTGATTTTAGTCTATTTCTTTCTTTCTTTCTTCCCTTTTTTTTTTTTTTTTTTTTTGAGACAGGGTTTCTCTTTGGCTTTGGAGCCTGTCCTGGGGGAACTAGCTCTTGTAGACCAGGCTGGCCTCGAACTCACAGAGATCCACCCGCCTCTGACTCTGGAATGCTGGGATTAAGAGCATATGCCGGGGCTGGAGAGATGGCTCAGAGGTTAAGAGCACTGGCTGCTCTTCCAGAGGTCCTGAGTTCAATTCCCAGCAACCATATGGTGGCTCACAACCATCTGTAATGAGATCTGGTACCCTCTTCTGGCGTGCAGGCAGAACATTGTATACATATTATTAATAAATAAATAAAATCTTTAAAAAAAAAAGAGCATATGCCGCCACCACCCCCACCACCTCCAGCCCCCATATCTCCTACTCCCCCAACCTCCACCTCCCCCACCTCCAGCAACCTGTATTATTTTAACAGGGTTTCCTTTCCAGGGTTGGAATTTCATCCCCATTGTAAGGTACGAAGTGGGTGGTGACTTAGTCGAACCAGGATGTGTAAAGATGAGGCATTTCGATTAGGGTTTAGAGGAGGTCATGAGGGTGGGGCATCTATTACCTAATACTCGAGGATTTATAAGAAGAAAAGACCAGTGGGAATGCACACGTTGTCTCTTGTCTCAGCCAAGCGTCCTGTGGAAGCGGGAAGTTCAAGGTCATCCTTAGCTATCCACTGAGTTTTAGAACAGCCTGGACTGAATAATAACCTTTCTCATAAATCCAAAATAAATAAATAAACACTCGGGCCAGGCGTTGGTGGCGCACGCCTTTAATCCCAGCACTTGGGAGGCAGAGGCAGGCGGATCTCTGTGAGTTCGAGGCCAGCCTGGTCTACCGAGTGAGTTCCAGGACAGTCTCCAAAACAATACAGAGAAACCCTGTCTTGAAAAACCAAATAAATAAATAAATAAATAAATAAACACTCCAGTCTTCATGCCTTGGTATTCTGCCAGCAAGAAAGTTAATATTGAGTGAGGTCCTTTGGCCTTGGACCAGAACTACAAATTGAAAATAAACCTGTTTTCTTTGTAACTTGCCCAGTTTGTATTGCGCCCTTAGCAGCCTAAAACAGACACAGACATACATACTGGAGCTCATCTCCTTGGGAATACAATCAAATCCCTAACCTGGTCTGGTCTGTAAGAAGTCTGGAGACTTGACGAGGACCCTGAGGCCAGGCCTGGGAGATATCGTGTGACGAGGCTTGCATGTGACTGTCCTCAACTTTGCAGACAGGCTAGGAGTCTGTAGTTGTCCGTGACTGACTATCCCATCAACAAGGAGAAGGCCACGGAGCAAAGTTAGCTTCTTCACATTGCTGTCTGGCGTATAGGCAGTTTTTGTAGTTGCCTCTTCTGTCCACACACCCTGAAATGCTAGTCTGGACAGGCTCTTCTTTCTTTCTTTTTAAAAATAATTCGTATTTTATTTACTTCGATGTTTTGCCGGCATGTATATCTGTGTAAGGTGTCAGACCACCCGGAACTGGAGTTTTGTTTTTTTTGTTTTTTTTTTCGGTTTTTCGAGACAGGGTTTCTCTGTGGCTTTGGAGGCTGTCCTGAAACTCGCTCTGTAGACCAGGCTGGCCTCGAACTCACAGAGATCCGCCTGCCTCTGCCTCCCGAGCGCTGGATTAAAGGCGTGCGCCACCAACGCCCGGCGGAACTGGAGTTTTAGACAGCTGTGAGCTGCCATGTGGGCACTGGGAACGGAACCTGGGTCCTCTGGAAGAGAAGTCAGTGCTCCTAACCACTGAGTCTCATTTCTCCAGTCCCCGGGTTCTTATTCCTATCTCCAGGCCAGTTCTTATGTCTTCTCTGACACTCGTTGATATTCTTGGAAGAAAAATAACCTCATTTACCCATTCAGGGGAAGCTTCGTCCTAACAATGTGTGAATGTGTCCAGTGGCCTCTGGCCAACACAATGTCAGCATCACTTAATCCTAGTAGGATATCGACATTGGAGAAGTTTTATTATTGGGAACCCTATTGGACCTGTGAACAAGTCTGAGTTCCACGTCTCTTAACTGTGTGACCTGCACCAAGTGTGATTATGTTATCTCATAATTCCAACATTTATGAGGCCGAGGATGCAATACAGTGAGACTTGTCTACAAAGCATAAATAGAGTAAGTTATACTTGATCTTACCCAATATGCCAAGAAGTAATAGTAGCATAAAATACATTTATGGAGCTGGGTGGTGGCGCCTTTAATCCCAGCACTGGGGAGGCAGAGGCAGGTGGATCTCTGTGAGTTCCAGGACAGCCTGATCTGCAAAGTGAGTTCCATGACAGAGAAATACTGTCTTGGAAAAAAAAATTACATTTGTGGTATAAGTGAGTCATCACCACTGTAATTCTTTTTCATCACCCCAGACGGAAACACGATACCCGATGAATCACAATTTTCTATTCCTCTCTTCCTTCAGCTCCTGCTAATCTCTAAGTTATCCTCTAACCTCTAACTTCTGCCCTTTCTAGATGCTCTTTTCAGACCATGTGGTGTTTGCTTGTTTTTAGTTTTAATTTTTTTGAGTTATCATTAAATAAATAAATTATATATATCCCAATGGCTGGATTTTGTAACAGGATCCCAGACTTTAGCACAACTGACTCCATGATGGAAATACCATTGGGGCTGTAAAAACCTCAGCGCATAGTTCCACCAGTCAAAATGAAAAAAATACCTCACTCATCAAAGTCCTTGGTTCTAGAAAAGTCTCTCAATGTACTAACCTTGCTCTTTGGCTTTGGTAGTTCTACTTCTGGCCCACAGTGCCTGTTTAACTGAAGTGTGTCAACTTAGAATGTGTGTGTGTGTGTGTGTGTGTGTGTGTGTGTGTGTGTGTGTGTGTGTGTGTGCTTAAAAGGTCACCCTGGAAAAGCTCGGGGGCTGCACTGGGATCCTTAACACCCAGCACAGTCGCCAGTCAGCTAATAAAGACTCTTCTCTGCTGGCTTAAACCCCGAGTCTGGGTGATATAACCCACACCGGGTTTCATCACAGCGTTGTCAGACCTAGTGTGTGTTTTAGCAGATTTTCTGTATTTTCATCTCCCCCCCCCCCGCCTCCTCCTACTCTTTCCTGTAAACGCCCTCCGTCTCCTTTCTGCTTTCATTTCCCATGACTGGGTCTTTGCCCTTCTTTCTGCATCCTCAGCAACTCTACCCCCTCTTGGTCTCCTTTCCAGTTGTGTGGAATTCTTTTTGTCTGGTTTGTGTGTGTGTGTGTGTGTGTGTGTGTGTGTGTGTGTGTGTGTGTGTGTGCAGGTTTTATTTGAAATATGTTCCAAAAACCATTACTAGACTTCAGGACCTGGGCAAAGATCACCCTTTGCAGAAACTTGGGAACTGCACACAGAACTGTGCAGAGGTAACATTTAAGCCAGGGCTAGGGACTGGCCAGGGGTGGAGGTTCAGGCCAGGAGAGGAAATCCACTTCAGCTGCCACGGGGCAGTATCTTGTGGTCACAGACAGTAAGCTGTCTTTGGGAAGTTTGAGTACACAGGATTTCCATTATTTGGCTACACCCCTGGCTGAGGTGCCATCAAATCAATGTCACTCAAGTTCCTGGCCAGCCAAACTCCCGCAGCAAACAGTCCCAAATTGAGGACCAAGTTCCTCCGGAAGTCGTTCCTATCCGTGGCGAAGCGGTACACACCGTGGAGCCAGTCACCCACGTTGTCTGGAACCTCGGGGGCCTCGCTGGCCGAGCGGGGAGCGCTCACCGTCACCCTGCTAGAAGTCATAGCAGTACCGAGCACCTCCTCCGCACTGGCTGCGTACGGCGCATAGAGTCCCTAAACAGTTTCAACCCCATATGTACATTAATGTATTTAATACATGTATGTATACATCACAAGCTGGGATCAGAATTCAAGGTCATCTTTGGCTACTTGTTTTTTTAACTTATTTTATTTATTTAACTTATTTATGGGCATTGGTGTGAGGGTGTCAGATGCCCTGGAAATCAAATTACAGACTGTTGTAAACTGCCAGGTGGGTGCTGGGAATTGAACCATTGAACCCCGTTCCTCTGGAAGAGCAGCCAAGGTTCTTAACCATCGAGCCATTTCTCCAGCCCCATCCTTGGTTGCTTGTAAATTCCAGAAGAAGCTGGACTTCCTGAGCACCTGTCTTAGTGTAGGAGAGGGTATAAAGATGTCTCATTATGCCGGGCGTTGGTGGCGCACACCTTTAACCCCAGCACTCGGGAGGCAGAGGCAGGCGGATCTCTGTGAGTTGGAGGCCAGCCTGGTCTACAGAGCGAGTTCCAGGACAGCCTCCAAAAAAATACAGAGAAACCCTGTCTCGAAAATAAAAATAATAAAAAAAGATGTCTCCGTATATAAAGGAGCTTACTACTAAGCCTGACAATCAGAGTCCTGAGTTTGATTCTCAGATCCTACATATTGGAAGGAGAGAACTGATTCCTGAAAGTTGTCTTCTGACCTCCACACCTGTACACACACACACACACACATACAAATAAGTAAATGTAATTACTAAATTTAAGTTTAAAAATCTCTAGAAGGTAGAAAAAACTCTGTGTATTTATATATGTATATATTTATATGTACACACACACACACACACACACACATACACACACGTCATTCCATACCTGGAGGTGCAGACCTATAACCCCAGCTACTTAGAAGGCTAAAGCAGGAGAAGCTCAGGTTCCAGGTCGGTCAGAACCACACAGTGAGTTCAAGGCCAGCTCGGGCAACCTGGGGAGACAAATCTCAAAATCGAAAGTGAAAAATGACTGGGTATGGAACTCAGTGTTGGTATTGGGTAATAGACAGCCTTAGGTCATGAGGAACTGAGTCAGGCTATGTTGGGAAATAGTTTCTAGCCATAAAGAATGAATTACCTCAGCCTGACCCGGCTGCACCTGTACAAAAAATATACCCAGGTACGGAAAAGAACCCACCCTGCTCCTAGTCAAATCACAAAAAAAAAAAAAAATAACTGTAACTTCCTGGTAGTTACTCATGTATGTGAGTATGTATACACACCTGCCCCTCAGCCCTTCTGAATGCGCTCAACCTTCATCCTGCAGGAAGGTTGAGAACCCTCGCTGTTCCAATAAAGCAGACTCAGCCTGTTCAGATCCAGTCTGTCTGCCTCATTTTTTTTATATACAACACGGAGAGACCTCCCACAAGAAGCCCCTCTAAGCCTCTTACCTCTACCTCCCAAATGCTGGGGTAACAGGCATGTGCCACCACACCCACCTTGTTTTTATGGTGTGGTGTGTGATATATGCACATGTGGACATACCTGTGTACAAACGAGGGCATCTGGCATCCTCTGTCACTCTGCCTTAGTCCTTCCAAGAAAGGCCTCCCTGAATTCGTAGCTTGTATTTTCAGCTAGTCTGGCATCCAGAAAGTCCCATAGACCTCCTTTCTCTATCCCCCAAACACTGGTGTTGCAGGCATATGAGAGACAGTGCCTAGTTCGTCATAGGGATGCTAAGATCTGAACTCGGGTCCTGTGGTTGTGCAGCAACACTGTTAAACACTGAGTCATTTCTCCAGCTCTCCACATCTGTTTTGATGTGGCTTTTGTTTTTGTTTTGAGAAGGGCCACTATATCGTCTAGGCTGCCCTGGAACTTACAAAGACCCCTCTGTGTTTGCCTCTACAGAGCTAGGATTAATGGAGTGTAACGAGAAGCCTTTTCTTTGCTAGCCGCTTTGGTTTATCCCCCGCCAGCCGCCTGGGCTCTGCCGAGATGTAGTCCCCAAATAAACACACAAGACGCTGTATTAATTATGAAGCTTTTGGCCTTGCTTGTTTCTTACTGGCTAGCTCTGACTTAAGTAATTACCCCATAATTGTTAATCTAAGTATGTTTCTTATCAGAGAATAGTTCCAGGCTTCCTACCCCCATGGCGTTACATGTTGACTCCTGTGTTTCTCCTTCCCAGAATCCTCCTGGACTCCTAGCCCCACCTATCTAGATTCCTATTGGCCAGCAGTAATTTATTAACATATACACAGGACTTCCCCAACAATGGAGTACACCACCATCCTGGCTTTTGGGTTTTTTTGTTTGTTCGTTCGTTTATTCTCGTGAGTTTTCCTGGAGCCCAAGCTGGACTCAAATTCAATAAATAGCCCAGGCTAGTTTTGAATTCCTTATTCATTCTCCTCTCATGCTCTGGGATTAAAGGTATGAGCTGTCACACCAGACTTTGTTTCTTGTTTTTGCTTGCTTGTTTGTTTTTTGTTTTGTTTTTGAGACAGGGTTTCTGTCTGTAGACCCAGGATGACCTCAAACTCAGAACTGCTTACCTTTGCCTCCCAAATGCTGGGATTAAAGGTATGTGGCACCACTACCCAGATTTTTTTTAAAGCTTTATTTTTATTGTTTTTTTAAAATATTTTATTTATTTATTATGAATACAACATCCTGCCTCTATGTATGTCTGCAAGCCAGGAGAGGGCACCAAATCTCATTACGGATGGTTGTGAGCCACCATGTGGTTGCTGGGAATTGGACTCAGGACCTCTGGAAGAGCAGCCAGTGCTCTTAACCTCTGAGCCGTCTCTCCAGCCCTATTTTTATTGTTTTTGATTATGTGTAGGTGTACATATCTGCACGTGGGTATGTTGACATGAGTACAGGTGCCTGGGGAACTCAAAGTCAATGAGTCCCCTGCACCTGGGGTTACAGAAGGTTGTGGGGTTCCTGGCTTGGGTACTGGTAACAGACCCGAAATGCTCAACCACTGAGTCATCTCTTCACCCCCTGCTTGCTTTTAGGCAGGGTCTCACTATGTAGCCCGGGATGCGCCTCAAATTTATTCTTCCAGCTTCAGCCTCCTAAATGCTGTTATAAGTACGGCTCACCACATCCATCGGTTTTTTTTTTTCTGGACAGACTGTAAGCCATAGGAGGACAGAATTTAGCCTTTTTCACTCACCGATGTGGTCCCAACACACGGTAAGTGTCTTTAGTCACAAACTGGTCACAGGTAAACTACTCAGGGGAATCCAGCAAGCTCTCTAAAGAAGGTTGGAAGAGTAAAACAGCCTTCCCTTTTTTTTTTTTTTTTTTTTTGGTTTGGAGACATTGTTTCTCCGTATTGCTTTGGAGACTGTCCTCGAAGTCGACCAGGTTAGCCTTGAACTCACATGGATCTGCTTCCCGAGTGCCGGGATTAAAGGCGTGTGCCACCAGCGCCTGGCCAGCCTTCCCCTTTTGACCACAGACAGCAAACATAAGAGAAGCTGAAGTCAGTGTCAAACTTGGGCTGGGAATCAGGAAATGCTTTCTAATGTAACACGACCACCTTGGGTGAGAGTCTGAGGCAGTTACGGATGGGTTTGCAGGAATCCTGGGCGAGCTCTGTGAGGGGGAAAAAGCTGCAGAAGGGTTCCAAAACGACCTAAGGTTCTACATCCCTGAGGTCCTAGGCCAGCTGGGCTGTTAAGGAAGTCACAAGGGTGTCTGGGTCGTGGGAGGAGGGGGAAGGGTGTTTTTTTTTCCCCCACTCTAGTAACTTGCTTCTGACTCAGGCCAGTGGAACAAAGCTGGTCTAGTTCAGTTCACATTTCTCAGGCTTGTGGGATGCCGTGTGACTGGCACTAGTGACACCTTGTGGCCAGTTAAACTCAAAGACAGCTGTTTATTGGGTTCAGGTTTGTGCCATGTACAATGAATGTCTGGCATTGAGAAGACCCTTTCTTTTGAGGGGTGTTAAAAAAAAGACAGCACACTGTAGAGAGGAAGGGGGTTGCTGTGTCCACACGCTGGAGGCCCCCAGGGGATCAGTCAGGATCCCCCCAAAAAGGGCCAGACGTGTGCACAGAGGGGAACCTCTGGTGGTTCTCTCCTGTCCCTCTTCTGTGCCTGTCCTGTGTTCCAGGGACACCTGTGAGGCAGGGCAAAGAGCTATTTGAGGAAAGGACGAGTTAATTAAAGCTGCACCTGCCTCTGGGCTCAGTTGTGCTCAGGAGCTATGAATAGAGCCCAGTGGGTTGGGATGGGAATGCCTGCCTGAGCAGTGCTCCCTGCAGAAAGAGGACTCAAGGGGTGTGGTTCTGCAGTAGGGTATGTGCTCAGCGTCCGTGCATGCGCTCACCAAAGAGCAGAAGGGAGGCAGGAGAAAGGGAAGGAGAGAGGGAGGCAGAAGAGGGGGCTCTGAAGCCCAGAGAAGGCATAAACTTATGATGGGGAAGTTCTGTGTATATGTCAATAAAGCACTGTTGGCCAATAGGGAAGCAAGATAGGTGGGACTAGGAGTCCAGGAGGACTCTGGGAAGGAGAGACACAGGGAGTCAAGATGTAACCACCATAGGGGTAAGAAGCCCAGACCCTTATCTCTGGTAAGAGAAATACTTAGATTAACAATTATGGGGTAAATACTTAAGTCAGAGCTAGCCAGTAAGAAACAAGCAAGGCCAACAGCTTCATAATTAATACAGCGTCTTGTGTGTTATTTGGGGACTACCACATGGCAGAGCCCAGGCGACTTGTGGGGAAAAACCAAATCGGCTGGCAAGGAAAAGGCTTCTCTCTACAAATGTAGCTTTCCACAGGACTGCCTCAGAGCCAGGAATCCCAGTCCTAATCCCTTGAGCCGTAGCATTTGACTCCCTAAGACAGAAACACAGATGAAAAGGAGCCCAGAGGAACAAGCAAGGCCACGCAAGAAGTGTGACATCTACCATGGACTCTGAAGCATTCCCCTGCCCTCCAACCAAAGAGCTATATTGTCTGCCCTTAAACT